ACGGCCATTTCCCCGTAACTGTACGTAAACATACTCTTCTTCTCAGAGGCATCAGCTTCAATCCTTGCACTGAGTTAGCCCCGCACCAACGAAACCATAGCGCCAGTGTCCACTGTCATTCGGATTCCCTTTCCATTGACTTTCCCGTCGATCACCAAACTGTCAGCGGTTCTTCCTAGACTTCTAATGGAAAAATCCTGGGGGCTCTGTTCTCCCCAGTCAATACTCGCCCCTTAGTATTGACTGATTTTAGTTTTCCTGGTGCCTACGTTCTCTGGATGGTGAACGGGATCGCATTTGAACGCGGCAATCCCGTTTGATGTGGCCATTCCTGCCACATCTAAAGCACCTTATGTCCTGGAATCTTCTCTGGTTCTCTGTCGGGGTGTTGTTGACTCCCTTGTTTATTAGTAGCTCACATAGTTTGTCGACTTTCTTACACATCTCCTCCAAACCTCTGTGAGTGCTTTCGGGCTGTTCCTCGACCGTTACCGATCTTATCTTCGGTCTAGGGATGGCGCTAAAAGCAGCTTCGATTTCCAGCGCCCTGACCAGTGCTTCGCTGCTGGTAGAAAATCGTGATATTTGTAGCGCCCTCTGTAATTCGTTGTCCCTCAATCCGCTGATAAAACACTGGGCGGCGAGTTCCTCCCTAAACCCTTCCGGTGCTTCTGGATATGCCAGGTGTACCAACCGACGTAAGTCTGCTTCAAATTCCTGCAGACTCTCTCCGGACCTCTGCATGCGTGTCTTGATCTGGGCCTGGTAAAGTTGACGTCGATGTTGGTCGCCATATCTCGGTCCAATGCAGTAACCAAGGTTTCGTACTCCTGCTGTTGGGCTGCAGGAATAGTTTGTAGCAATTCCAGGGCAGGGCCACGCAGCGCGATGATGAGTGCCGCTGCTTTCTCCTGGTCAGTCCATCCATTGGCAGCAGCCGCTGCTTCAAACTGGCGGTGGTACATCGTCCAGGTGGTTTGTCCATCGTAGGTCGGTGCCTTCAGGTTCGCAGTTCCATGAACGCCAGGTGTCCTTACTTGTACCTTGGTTTTCTGTAGGTCCATCTCCAATCTTTCTATCTTCTGCTGAAGGCGTTCCTCAAGATCTTCTACGGCTTCTTGGAAGTGGTTCTGCTGTTCCTGGCAACGTACTTACAACATTGCTTGTTGCTCATTTTTCATATCCTCGAAGTTTTTGTGAAGTCGAATTTCCTGATTTTCTAAAATTTTCTGAAGCCGGTCCTGTTCTTCTTGCTTTTCTCTCTGACGTCGCTCCTCCAAACGAATTTCCAAATTACCCAACATTTTCTCAAGCCGGTCCTGTTCTTCTTGTTTATCTTGTTGTCGTTGAATTTTAAGTCTTCGAAAATGTTCTCAAGCCGGTCCTGTTCTTGTTGACGTCGTAATTTTTCCTCTTCCTTTTCTCTACGTAGTCTTTCTTGTTCTTCAGCTTTCTCTCTTCTCATATTCTCCATAAAATCGCCCAATAGTTTGCTTACTTCCTCCATTTTCCTCGCTTGCTGTCTCGTACCAACCATAAAAATTCTCTAATCCGGTCTAAAAATCTTCCAATCCACTTAATTTCTTCTTAAAATCTTCTTGAATCGCACTTCCGACACCAATTGTTACGGATTCCGTGGGTCCACTAATTTAAACTCGCGATAAAATACTTAACGAATTTATTTTCTCACTTTATACACAATTACTAACTTATAACACACAACAAACTAACTATTTATAAGATTCCTTCACCAAATTGTCCGATTTTCAATTTTCACGCGGTATATTCAAATTTCAAAAACTGTCTCCGTTGTCGATGGCTCCGGCTTATATACTCTATTGACTGCTTCTCGAAATTTCCCCAATTCTCGGAAAGCGTACTTCTTCATACCAGACAATTCTATTGTCTGATTCCCTTACTTCTCGACTTGACTAAAAGATGGCGCCTGAAAAAGTCTTTTAATTTCTGGCGGATACGTTGCGGTTGTGCAGGCAACCAGTAATACATTTTTAATTTCTGGCGGATGCGCCATTTTTCTTGACAATATTAACATTTCTATGGCGCGAGTTTTTTTCCACATCGGTGACCGATATATTTTATTCTGTAAACTTTGGCGATGCCCCTATTACCGTAAAAAAAGGCATCCGTTTAGATCCAAGCGATTTTGTTTAGACTGTCTTAAGTCGGGAATAAAATTAGTGCTATCTAGTGTTCAAAGTGGAAAGTACAAAATGTAGGACAAAAAGTAGAAATTATGCGTAAAAATTTGGAAAGAACTGGAAGATAAATTGAAAAAGGCAGAAGTTAGCTTGATCAACATACAGCTCTTTCAAAAAGATATAAAAGAATAAAACAGCCTTGACATCAACATATCTTTTGACATAGATTATAGATTCTCGGGATCCAAAATATAACCTAACATCAGAACAAAATAGTTCTGCACTAGAGTTTGCGTATATGTACATAGGTATATAAAATGTATTCGAATACCGGATTTCTATATATCACTTCACGATTTCAAAATAAATATCTACCGTTTAAAAGACAAATGGATTCATACGAAATTACTTCAAAAATCAATCCAACAATTTAATGAATAAATATTAAGTAGGTATAAGATCTCTGTTACCTTTTACCTTTATTTTTCGATTTATTAAAAGTATTGAAACGTTACAACAACAAGTGTAACTTTTATTTCGTGAAATAGATATAGGATATATTTGTTATAGCAATAATTTTGTATAGCATTATAAAAAAATAGTTTTTATAACTTTTACTACTTTTTTAGTTATTTTTCGATTTATTATAAGTTTTTAAACAAGTTGATATTTTTTATTTAAATCCATGATTAAAATAAAATAAAAAAAATCCGTTGATTTAAATATGTATTTGCTCCCTGCCCTGTACAGAGCTTTTTCGGAAACCTCGGTCATCCTGTAAAAAAATTTAGTAATATAATCCATCTCTCTTGAAAATTATAATGGCCGATATGTTTTAAACGAAGGATTTACAGCCTTATACCTAGACAAAAGGGCTAGGTAGTTTAAGGGTCCCGTAATCCTGCTGTTAAAAGATAACAATCGGTTTTTATTTGTAAAACAGCAGGATTACGGGACGTCATTGCAGCCACTCAAAATAATCTAAAGTAACGGTAGCATATAAAAATAATGAGTCATTACCGTAGAATGCTAAATATTAAGTTAAATTATCATTCCCGATATTTCATATTTATAGCAAAGCAAATTTACCTTCATTTATAATATTGAATAAAAAATGTCTGAATTAAATAAAATACTTTAGTTATAGAATAAAAAAAAACAGTTTCACCCCTATGAAAATTTACTTGAACCTTATGTTCACCATACAGGGTGTCCTAGAAATAAGTGCAAGTGTTTTAACTTGTAGTATTGTTCAACCCCAGAAACAAGCCTATGAGGTTTTTTTCACGAGAAAAAAAATTGAAAATTCGAAATTTTTGGATTTTTTTTAGTTTTTCGTTAAAAACACAATTTCTTGATAATATGGCAACAAACAAGAAAAGAAAATCCAGAAAAGATCCAGTGGTTCTCAAAATTTTAGCAAAAAATCTCTCTTTTTTTGGAAAATTTCAAAGTAAAATAACTCTGTTATTTTGGACTTATTTGAAAAACGATAAAGAGAAAATATGAAACTAACTACTTTTTTCAGTTTATACGTCGAAACCATAATATTATATTTGTACAATAGATTTTATAAACATATCCAACTCCGAAATAGTCTTTTTTAATGCTTGTTTTTTTTTGAAAATTTAAAGGCAGCTGAGTATTCAAAGTAGTCGCGAATAAACAGCTGAGTATTCAAAGTAGTTGCGAATAAACTTAGTTCTCATACTGTACGTAGTGATTTGTTAAAATTGAAAACAATAGGTGGGATACTCTGTTTAGATAATTTAAATACTACATTTGCGGAACTACGCTAATGAATATTTTGATTCTTTTTAAATAAGACGTGATAATTGAATTGAAGGAACTTGGCAACCGTCGTCGTCTACAATACTGAGCAATTTGCAAGAATTTAGCAATGTAGTATTTTGTAACGTAAATAATCTTAAGACCAATGACAGTGTTTTGACCTTGACCTACATAAAATTGCGTTTTATTTGTTTTAAAGAACTTTTATTAATTTATATTGTAACTATTTAATAGTTCGGGAGCTAACGACCATTTATAGTTATTTCAGAAACACGATATTTTTTATATCGTTATTTTCCACTTTCGAGCAAGGGAAAAACCAAATTTGTTTAATCCATTGCTCAATTTATCCCTTAAATGTTTCATTTTTCAATATATTCTTTTGTGCTTCTTACTGATAGCATTCTAAGATCAAATATTAACAGAGAATATATTTTTATACAAACTTTTATCCCCTATTTTACCTCGTAAGGGAAATTTTATTAAGTTTCCTAAAATGGATTTGGCTTGCTAACGAATATTTTTTTTCATTCAATCGTTACTTTCCAATTTCACCACTTTGACAAATTACTTGCTAAAAATTGCTTCTCAATACGTTACTTAAGGGAACTTTCTGATGTTGATGATTTAAAAGGTGACTCATTTTGGGGCTATTATTTATATATGTTACGGCTAAAATGGATACTTGGCTAGTTTTCAAACTAGCCAGCTACTTTGCAAACAAACAGCACAACCAGCACCACAAACTCTCACCTAACCAACACAATAACAGTGGTTTTTGCAAAATAGCTGGCTAGTTTAAAAACTAGCCACTAGCCAAATATCCATTTTAGCCGTAACATAACATAAATAAAAGTTCATATTTAAATCCATATTGATCAATATGTAACAATTAAATGTAAGAAAAACTTAATCCCTCTACTTTAATAATTCTTATTATTACTAATAATTAGTAGTTCCTAGTAATAATTATTATAATAGGTTGTATTAAATTTTTTTGAGAGCAGTAGGTATTATTAATTAATTCGAGAATTAATTCAATGCTTTCAGATATCTCTACCAAGTGAAAAAAGAAGAAACGCCACAGCTTTATACAATCCAATGACAGTAGAAGAATTACAATACAAGTTCCCAAGCATTCCTTGGGCCGAATATATCAACACTCTTTTGGCGCCTGACACTCAAGTTGGCCACCATGAGGTAAGCATAGCTTTATCCTTTTTAAATTTAACTCCAGTACTTAATATACCATACATTTTGCTGCGTTCATTAAATATTGTATTTTAATTATTTAATCTTCAAATCGATTTCAATCGAAAGATTCAAATCACCCACAATAAGGTATAAAAATACGCTTTGGATGCACGTTTTCTTAAGAATGTTAACATCATCAACAGATTACTAAACTGAGTTTCAGTCCAAAAATTATTCACCTCTAAGCTGCATCTGGCATACTAGACGGACATTGTGAACTCAGTGTTAATCGTGTGTCCGCGTGTGTCTCTTATGCCGGGTCCAGACCGGGTCCGCGACAAAAAGTAAACACGATTTTGAGACAAAAACAAGACAAACTTGAGACAAATTGTCCACACTGCAAGGACAAAAGTGCAACAATGTCAAAAGTTTAGTTGTTGCGAATGAGTTTTATTAACCATGTGTGATTTCACTGGTCTCCTACTATTTTCAGCACACGCCATCCATACTGCACCGACAACTTGTCGTAAAATATACGAACAAAACATAGATATTTTGATCTTTACCGACTCGAGACAGAACATTGAAAAGTCTCCGAATTTTGACACAAAACAAAAATGAGACAAAAATGTCGCAGAAATGTATTAGATTTGTCGCAATTTTGTCATAAAACATAAATGTTTCTGTCTGGTCGTTGTTTTGTCTGCTTGGTCTGAACCCGACATTACAATTGTGAACTCCCCGAGTTACATTTTTCATATTCTTTCCAAAATCAGTTTGGCTCGTGGCTTAGACAATGCATATCTTTTGTAGTGATGCAGTTTTTTTGCATTTACACATTTACTGATGATGCATGAACAGCAAAACATACATGCATCCATAGTATATTTTAATGTGTTAAATCCGTTGTTTTAATCTGTTATGTTTGATTGCTGTAATTTTCTCTAGAATGTTTACTATCCTACATTCAATTTTTCTAATTGATCTTTGTTATTTGACATTTAGTCGGAAATGGTTTAAAAAAAAAAGATGATTTGTTTTATATGTAATTAATTAAGTAATAATGGTTGCGCAATTATTTAATATGTTATATTTGTATGGATATTACAACGTTTAACCATACTTATTTTAGATACCACTTTGGTGCTTTATATTATATCTTTATGAATATCTTTTAGAACAATATTTTCTGCATTTTAGATAATTGTTGTTAGTGTACCAAAGTATATCTCAGACTTCGAAGCTCTTATCGCTAGAACACCCAAACGAGTTCAGGCTAATTACGTTATGTGGAGAGCAGCAGCTTCATCTGTTTCTTACTTAAACGATGCCCTTAGAAAGAGACAACTAGACTACACCACAATTGTCACAGGAAGAACAGAAAGAGAAGCCAGATGGAAAGAATGTATCGACATTTCTGCTGGAAGGTGAGTTAATTGTTTCAGAGTTTTATTCATATTTGAGTAGATATTTTTGACTTATTACTTTTATTTCAATTAATAACAAGACTATGACAAAAAAAATCTTATCTTTTTCAAGATAAGAAAGTAGTAGGTATATCAAACAAAATTTATAAAGTTCCTTATGAATTCCTTTATAAAGTCTCATTATAAAATTTAAAATAATCTCACTGTAGGTCAAGTACTCATACGCCTTACCAGATTTTAGCACTCTTCATTAAATCATTTATAAAATACACAACAACGTAGAACGGCTCACCAAACTTACAGAAAATAAAATTTGTCATGAGAAAAGTAGATTGTAGATGTAGATTTAGTTGACAGAACTTTGTTTTATAAATATAGATTGGATCTTTACAGTTTATCAATAGCATCAGGCGCTCTATACGTTCGAAAATATTTTAATGAGGAAGCAAGACAAAACGCTAAGGAGATGGTGGCTGATATTAGAACAGAATTCGAAAACATTTTAAAAACAGTGGATTGGATGGATGAGGAAACCAGAAAAAATGCCTTGGACAAAGCTAAGTCTATGTCTACACATATCGCTTATCCGGATGAGTTGTTAGATAACAGAAAGTTGGAAGAGTTTTACAATGACGTATGGCTTTATTCTCTAATATTTTGTTAGAGTTATTTCATAAATGTATTAATTTTTCAGTTGGAACTTGATGAACGCCAATATTTACGATCAATCCTCAACTTGACACTGTTTGGAACGAAGATTTCATTTCAAAGATTGCGCCAACCAGTTAACAAAACCGACTGGATTACTCACGGACGTCCAGCTGTTGTTAACGCCTTTTACTCAGCTATAGAAAACAGTATTCGTAAGTATTTTTCCTATTTTGTTTTTCATTTATATTTTGTCATAATCATTATCATCGAGATTATCATGCTGGATTATTACTAATCCTTGTAGGTTAAGGCCGACTAAGAGGTTAAGTCTTTAATGCTTCTTTATTATTTTATTACCTTACTTCACTATACTCGACTATTCCATGACTACGTTGCCTCCATCGTAACCATGGATGTCCTGACGGTCTTTTGCATATAATAGGCTTTAATTCCCATTCTAGCTGACAAGGCTAATATCTGCGTGTCTTAATTTATTTCTAGCTCTTTCTTAAACGTCGGGATGTGATTTTTTTAAATTTTTTAAATAGTCAGTTTAATTATTCAGTTGATTGGTTCTACTGTTAGATGCCAAATATTTTCCGTATACTCTTAACTCTAAGCGGTTTTGTGGATACTAAACTTTGTTATTCTGCAAGAACGTTTTATGTCGAGTCTGAATTTTTAACTAATCTATTACCGCTTTTCTTCTTATGTCTTCCGTTAGACTGTTGTTATTATTTTTAACTCTATGGTTGTTATACATGATATTTCATTCTAGGCACTTACCAGGGTGCTTTTCAAAGTTGTAGGTGTGGTATATTGTATACAGGGTGGTCCGAATTGTATTCCGGAAACTTCGGCAGCATATTCTGCAGATAAAAATAGGTAAAAAAGATCGTATAAATGTATGTCCTAAAATGCTTAGTTTCGGAGATACAGGGTGTAGAAATTTTATTTTTATTTCGATTTTTTCCAAATAATTAAATTAAGGTCAATATTTAGATGAAAATTAGTGTCTGACACAAAACATCCCCCTTTAGAACTTCGTCTGTCATGTTAAGAAATGAACGTAAATAATAAAGCGCCTCTCGTGTTTGTTCGCACTCAAAAAATTTCAATTAATGCCTGTATATATTTTTAATATATTTTTTAAATTGACATTTTTTTAATTGAGAAGTAATATATTACATTTAAATGGAATATATTACATAACAATTATGTCAATTACAGGATTACAAGCTTGTTTTATAAATTTTTTTAAATAAAACTAATTATAAAATTTCGATATATATGTATATTTGTCGTAGATATGAAAAAAGTAAACTATAAAATGGACAAACGCTTACTCACATTGCAATAAAACTTCCACTTTTAGTTTTGCAATCCAAACGCAATATTTCTATTTCACAAAGAAAAATATCCGACAACACTAAAATCACTGAAACTTCGGCGGCTGACAACGAAAACTGAAAAATATAACGGCACTTTTTGTTTTGGATCTGCATATCAAAATTACGCTGTACTATTATGTATTTGTTGTTGAAATAATATAAAATATCTAATTATAACTTGTAAATTTTAATATTTTAACATGATTTTAACTACTTTTGACAATAACTAACTTTTCATCAAGATGACATTTTAGACGGCAACTGACATATATGTATTGTAATATTTAAATCTTAAATATGTATGAAATATAATTTAAATTACTTTAATGCAACTTTATACTAAGAAAACATTTATACATTCACAAAATACAACAAAGTCTAATAATATAGTTTGAAAACAATGATTATTGAATTAAAAATGAAAAAGTTAAGCGCGACCCCTTGTGGCAAAATTAGATGATTAAATTTTCGCAATTTTTACACGATTGATGACTGTTGGCGCCTCTAGTGTATGTTCGTGTGGTTGGTCTTTTACTCCCGCTTATGACCATTAAAGAAAAAGGTGGTGTCTGGGAGTTTTTTGACATAGGAAATTTGATTTTGATGTCAATATGAGTTCTACTGGTAGAGGGCGCTACCTACATGTGTTTTAACCTTTGAATAAGAAGACTAAGGAAGGAGCATAATATGCTATCCATGTATTCATGCATGGTTGGCGGAAAAAGCACCATAAAAGCACTCTAGGGTGGGGATCCTTGACAGTTCTATTTGACGATTCATTTGACACATTTGAATTTGATTTGAAATTTTGTGGATTTGTCAGTCTTTACGGAGCTTATTTTATGTTATTTATTATTTATTCTACTACTGATAGTTGTATAAAGGTAGTAAATCTAGATGGAAATTGTGGCAGCACTTAAATTAACAGTGACACTATCGCGATTTATCGAAAAAGACTCTAAAATAGTTGGTTGTGTAGCGTGCGGTAGATCTCGGCAAAAATCGAGTGAAATAATGGAACAACTTTTCGCTAGTAAGTGACTATATAATATAGATACGTGTAGTAAACCGATCATTTATGAAATTCACTTAAATTAACTAAATTATATATTTTTCTTGCATTTTAGCTTTTATTTATTACTTGTCAAAGATTAGATGTCAAAGAATTTAGTTACGTTAATTTGACTTACCTGCTTCAGTAGCGTATCGGATATTTGTGGTAATAAATACTTATAACTTATCTATTTTTATTAGAATTATATATTTTTATAACAATTTTAATAACTACCAACATTTATTCACAACGTAAAATAAAACAACAAATTATTGAGTCTACCCCACGTCTACCCTACATCATAGTTTTACATTTTTTAAATAAAATTAGAACGACACTGATAAACCGGAATTTAAGTCGGCCATATTTGAGGCCCATCGCGGTGTACCTAAGATTTTTGATATGCTCCTTCCTTAGTCTTCTTATTCAAAGATTTTAACTGTTTCTCTTTGTAAAAATCGCTACAAGCAACCATTCTCAAGATATTTAGAATGAAAATGGTCAATACGTGCCATTATTAACGAAAAATAAACATGTTGAGGAGATTATTAATTATTATTCTGTATCCTTGAAGAAGGGAACCCTCTTAGGGTACTGTTGTTCGGTCTCCTCAGTCGTTCGAAGCGTGGAAGCCTCCAAAGTTTCGACTTCAAAAATTCCGGACAAAATGGTGAAGGAGTTAGTAAACGTTAAGGGATTATCTCCCGAAAATAGTAGAAAACTGAGAAACCTGATAATCAAGTATCAAGATGTGTTTGATAAAGGAAAAGCAGGACAGAGAGGTCGTACCAATTTAGTACAACATAAAATTGACACAGGAGATGCGCGACCAATCAAACAAAATCCGAGAAGACTTCCGCTCGCCAAACGTGAAGAAGCTGATAAAATCCTTCGAGAAATGAAAGAAGAGGGTGTCATCGAACCATCTAACAGCCCGTGGACATCGCCGGTAGTACTAGTAAAGAAGAAAGACGGTACCACCAGGTTCTGTGTTGATTATCGGCAGCTCAATAATGTTACCAAGAAGGATAGTTATCCCCTGCCGGGGATAGACGATACTCTAGACACGCTGGCGGGGTCAACGATATTCTCTACGTTAGATCTGAAAAGTGGATATTGGCAAGTCGACATGGCGCCGAAAGACAGAGAGAAGACAGCGTTCTCGGTGGGCTCTGGACTGTGGCAATTTACCGTCATGCCTTTTGGATTGTGCAACGCGCCAGCTACCTTTGAAAGACTAATGGAGTCTGTGTTAAAGGGACTATCCTGGACTACCTGTTTGGTGTACCTGGATGACATCATAGTGGTTGGGAAATCCTTTGACGACCATCTGAGAAAAATAAACATGTTGAGTTATTTCACTGAAATAATAAAAAATTTGGAAAATTTTTATTTTTTTAAATTAATCATATTTTTTCTGCAAAAAAATGATCCAGGGTAGTCCGAATTGTACTCCGGAAACTTCGACAGCGTATTCTGCAGATAAAAATGGGTAAAAAAGTTCGTATATATGTATGTCCTAAAATGCTTAGTTTCGGAGATATAGGGTGTAGACGTTTTATTTTTATTTCGATTTTTTCCAAATAATTTCTGAAGTAACGTCAATTTTTGAATGAAAATTGGTGTCTGGGAGTTTTTTGACATGGAAAATTTGATTTTGATGTCAATATGATCTAGTAGAGGGCTCCACCTACATATTTTTTAACTGGTTTGAAGAGTAATAACTTTTCGTCCGTACCCGTATTAAACTACTGAATAAAAAAATGTACATTTACGACATTTTTTACGTGAAAAAAGGTCTCTTGGTAAAAATCGCTACGAGTAGTGGTTTTCGAGATATTAATGAATCGAAATTATCAATACCTGTCATCATTGACATAAATTAAATATGTTGACTAAATAGTTATTAGACTGAAATCATAAATTTCAAAATGTTTTCGTGCAGAAACTGTTTTATCATCATTTTTTGCAGAAAAATTTATGAGTAATTTAAAAAAAAATAAAAAATTTCCCAAATTTATTATTTCAGTGAAATAACTATCTACTCAACGTGTTTATTTTTCGTCCATAATGACATGTATTGACTATTTCCATTCTAAATATTTTAAGAACGGTTGCTCGTAGCGATTTTAACAGAGATATTTTTTACGTAAAAAGTCACAAAGATGTATATTTTTTCGCTCGGTAGTCTTATACAGGTACGGACAAAAAGTTATTACGCTTCAAAACAGTTAAAACACATGTAGGTGCGCCCTCTACTAGTAGAAGTGATATTAACATCAAAATCAAATTTCTCATGTCAAAAAAACCCCAGACACCAATTATTTTCATCGAAATATTTACATTACTTCAGAAATTATTTAGAAAATATCTTTGAATAAGAAGGAAAATATCGAAATAAAAATGAAATTTCTATACCCTGTATCACTGAAACTAAGCATTTTAGGACATACACTTATACGAACTTTTTTAATTATTTTTATCTGCAGAATATGCTGCCGAAGTTTCCGCAATACAGTTCGGACCACTCTGTATATTTTATATGCTTTTTTATCTTTATATTTATAAACTTTAGCCGAATTATCAAATTGAATTTACAAAACAAAACTGAACTGAGAGAATTAAAATGGCGTCGAAATTTGTTCTAGAACAAATCTGTCAATTCTAAACTATGAAGTTAGACAGAAACATTGCTGTCTTTGTCCAGGTGGCCATACTTGTCGTCAGGAGATGAGATGACAGGAATGATACTAATGACTGTTTCCAATTTTCCTATTTCACTGTCACCCCCCTGAACTAGAACTAATCCAGTTGCAATATATTTTATTATACATAGATATATTTTGTCGGTTTCCCACAAGTAATTTTGCAAAAATTCTAACATACTACTGAAAATTCAAAATTTGATTGGTCCACTTATATTTTACTCCCCAAAGTGAGAATACTGAAAGAAATCTCGATTCTGATATTTCAGTTTCTGATTGAGCATTCAAGTAACTGAGCGAAGCAAAGTATATTTTATTAGAGATATCTTATGCTTAGCTGCGAATGTTCTATGTTTTTAATAAATGTTTATTGTATTGCTTTAAATTACTGATATAAACCTTTTTGATCCAGAATTCCCTGCCGGCATTCTCCAAGGTGTATTCTTCAACGCCGATAGGCCACGATACATGAATTACGGCGCTATCGGTTTTGTGATTGGCCACGAAATCACTCACGGATTCGACGATCAAGGAAGACAGTTCGACAAAGAAGGAAATCTAGTGGACTGGTGGCAACCAGAAACGAAGAAAGCATTTGTGGAGAAAGCTCAATGTATCATCGACCAATACGGAAATTACACTGTACCCGAGCTAAAGTTACACGTAAGTAAATGTTTATTAATTTTTAATGTTTACACTGACACAGCATTTGGCGCTTACATTACACATTATTAGGTAAAACTTGAAATTCGATCTGAACAGTTTCCTGTAACATTATTTGCCTACTTGTGTTTGTGCAATTATTTGTATATCATACAGCGTCACCTATTAACTTATTTTCATCAAAGTTTCTCAAATTTTGGAAATCATTATTATTTTATTATCAGCATAATTCCAAGACGTCCTGCACTAATATAAACCAACATTTGATTTTGAACATACCCCATTAAAAATAAAAAAATACACATTGGAAACATGTCCAAAAAAGTTAATTATTATACTGCATTAAAAAATTAAAAAAGATAATCTGACATTATGGAAAATAATATTCTTTAAATACTGTTATAAATATGTAAATACAAATGCATGACTAAAATTAAGACAATATAAAAATATGTACAGAGTGGGTAAAATTCGACGCTTTTAAAGGGACACACCCTTCCCTATAGGAGATATAGGACGAAAAATAATATCGGTGTCTGGAGCTCAAATTTTATCAAAAACGTGATAGTGAAAACCGCACATCGATAACTGTTACCGTTTCGGAGTCACGGAGTGTTTTTCAAAAATCTGCATTTTTAACAAATCGCTGTAACTCTTTTGCTATGGAAAATTTTGTATAAGATATAAAACATTTCCAAAGCACCTTTTTACATAGAATTTAAGTATATTTTAAATTAATAATTTAAGAACTATCAACATAAAAATTTATTTTTTATTAGGGACACCCTATTTTAATTAAGTGAAAAGAACTTAAAATTACCTTTCCAAAAATATAGCACACTTGATATTTTGTTATAGTCCCCTTCGAAATACAGAATTTTTATAAGTTCGCTACTTTTAACTAGTAGGCTTTGGACTCCTTATTGATGATCTGCCCCAATGTGGAACTCGAAAACATATTTTTCCAGCAAGATAAGGCACCGCCACAGAAAGCTGAAGTTATCAGCAAATTTTTCAGCCAATTTCGAGAATAATTGAATAGCTAACCAAGATTCCAGCCGTTGGCCGTGGAGGCCGCCGGATTTAGTGCCTGTTATCCTTAATGGATTTTTATCTTTGAGAAAGAATAAGGGTTCTTATTTTTAAATTGCCCGTTAATCTAGAGAATAATTAGAGTACTTAGCCATTATGCGAGGGTCTCTTTTACCCCCATTGAGTTAATTAATTCCGCGAGAAATGTTCAGGAACGATCCTGTCTGTCCATAACAGATGACGGTCGATATGTTGAACACCTGTAAGCAAAATCTCATGTCTTGGTTGCTCGCATTTTTTAAAAACACCCCATAACTCCGAAACGGTAACACATATCGATGTGCTGTTGTTCACCATCATATTTTAGATAAATATTGAGCTCCAGACACCGATATTAGTTTTCGTCTGTCTCCCATAGAAAAAAGTGTTTCCCTTTAAAATCGTTCAATTTGACCCACCCTGTACAATATATTTATTAATATTTTCTGTAGGTCAAAAATCAGGATGTAAATATAAAATATTGTAAATATAAAATCTATTAATTGATAACATTGTATATAAATTATTTTTTCTATATTTCTAGTAATTACAGTATAAGTATCTGAAACAACATAAGCATGAAATATACTAACAAAAATTAGTTAAGGTATTTATTTGGTATAGAGACTAAGTTGACATTGAAGTTTCATAAAGAATATTTTTAATATCGATTTATTAGGTAATTTTTATTCATTTTAGAACTCACTATCAAACATAGTTAAAAGTAAATAAATTGCCTTTAACTTTTCTACCATTTCATAGTTGTTTTTTATTATTATTGCTTTTGTGGCTTTACACGTAGCTTTTTGTGGGTAACTTAAAATAATATCTTCGATGCCATTTTAGATACCTACGGAATTTAAATAACTTTATAATATTTTATATAAAAATTTAATTTATAATAAAATAAAGAATGAATTACTCGAAATCGTTTTTATGAAATAATTTTGTGCCGCGGTAATTAAGAACTTTTAAATAAGTACGTTTAAGATTTGATAATTGAAATAAATATAGGTATTTTTGCTTCCATATAGAAATATTTATTGTTATCTCTATACTACTTCTATCAGAATGTGTACTTGTGAGTATATTATGTTTTTATATTATTTTTTCATCAGATAGGTTTTCAGCAGTAGCGTATCTGCCTCAATTAATTCATCATCGTAAGGTCTAGTGAAGCACAACCAATAGATAGTGTTCATGCTTCATGTACTATTTTTTTATTGAATAATGTTAAGTTGCAACTGTAATAAAATTAATAATTAATTGGTGACATCTTATGGTTCAATCTGGCTCAGTTCCAAACGACTACTTCTGAAATTCATGATGTAAAATTAGCCCAGAAGAAATGTACCAACCTTGTGCCATGATGGCCACCATATTCATGCTTAGGTCTACAAGAGAGATCAATAAGGAATAATAACAAAGCTGGTAAATTCTAATTTGTTTCAGTTTAATTTCGCCTTTGTATTCTTCTGGACTCTTCTTAGTATTTTATGTGTAATAAATTAATCATTAGTAGGTAGTTAAGTTTAGTGAATGTTACTATTTCATTTATACAGAGTGTCCCAGGAGTAAGTGCAAGTATTTTAAGGGGTGGTAGATCTGGCCCAGAGCAACCATTTTTAAAATAAATTGAAAATAGCCAAGACATCCAACCAAGATATATATCTCTGCTTCTTCGACGCCCTGTGTTGCCACATCGACAAGAAATTAAGTAACTACTTGAGTAAAAACGTCATTTAACATTCCACACCACACATCACCAAAGAGGTTATATACAGTTTTAATTTTTTTGAGAGCATATTCGATATCGCCAATATATTGAATATTACTCCACAAAATAAATTAAAAGAAAAAAAAAATCGAACTTATAAATACGCAGAATGTGTAAAGTAGGTGGTGGCAACATTGCATTCTTTACATGCGCTTGTAATAAATTTCGAGAGAATGAAGTGTGACACTCAAAAGTATTTCAGAATTTTCCGGAAAATATCAAGAAAAATAGAACATTTTTAACATTTTTTTTTCGCAAAAAAACCATGGGTGTGCTTCTGGAATCGAAATTTACTACCAGTTAAAATATTTGCACTTTTTTTTCTGAGACACCCTGTATAGTAGATAGTAGTAGTTAGTTTAATTTTAAATTCGAAAATTTCAGGGGATTTATGGTGTCTTCAAACAGAAAAATAAAATAAGAAAATATAATATCAAAAAGTGAGAAATTCTTCTAACGGGAAAATAAAATACACATTTACTCAGTGCGCCGAACTATATTAAAAATTGACTTTAATTATTGTTTATAGTAATTTTACTATTTACAGTGTTTTCTCGTATTGATAAAAGTATCATTATCCACCATTATCGAAATTTGCGCGCTAGAACCTTAATTACTGCGTTAATTAATGTTTTAACGCGTTATTTTTAAGATTAACAACTAAAAATGACTGTCAACAAACTTATAATCACGACTAATTTCTGACCTCTACTTTTATACTTAAGCACGAACATGGCAGTCACCATCATTAGATCTTCTGCGTACATTCATGCCCATTATCAATGTCTCTGGGGTGTCAACCTACTTTTCTTAACATGTTTAACGTTCTACATTAAGATGCCTACATCCTTTTCTTAGACATTAAACTGAAGTACACAGATTTAGACAGAAAGACATTGCTCTTGTTATATGATTACACTTCCTCCCCAAATTTTAAAGTAGTTGTACATAAAACTAAAACCAAAACCGTTTCTAACACTTTCCGTCTTACCATTGGTAGTTGATCGATACTCATAAAAGCATAGTGCATGGTAAACGACTAACACCAACTTAACCTTGCTCTTCCAGCTGAACGGCGTGAATACCCAGGGCGAGAATATCGCCGACAACGGTGGAATAAAACAGGCCTACTTGGCCTACAGGAACTGGATCGGTAGGAATGGCGAGGAGGCCTCCTTGCCGGGCATCAAATACAACGGGCGCCAGATGTTCTGGATCTCGGCCGCGAGCATCTGGTGCTCGCTCACCAGAGACGAGGAACTAAGGCAGTTGGTGGTGACCGATGAGCACGCGCCCGATAAATACAGGGTTATCGTACCTCTGAGCAACATGAAGTACTTCTCGGAGGATTTCCGTTGCCCGATTGGCTCGAAAATGAACCCAGTCAAGAAATGCCAAGTGTGGTAGAGAGTGTGAGCTTGGTGTGAGTGGATGCGTTTGACTGAGTTGTGTGCGAGATTTTAGGAAATATTATTAAAATTAACCGATAAGGTATTGTTTGTGTGTTATATATGTTTTATGTGGAAGATAGCTAACGATTTCCCACAGGCACACCTACTTTCTTGGTAGTTTCAGTTTTGCTTGACGGGATGTGGCTTCTGTGGCTGAAAATCCTTTTTGCTGTTCTATGGGACTACAGCAAAATAAAACACTAATTCACCACCAAGACCAAAACACTTTACTTCTAAACACTGGACGCGCATTTCGCTAACCACGTTAGCATCAATAACAAATGATTAAAACTAAAAAATCTACTGTTAGTATTAATCATCTGCTGATAATGCTAACATGGGTAGGGAAACGGGCGTCCAATGTTTAAAAGTAATTTTTTTTTACGCTAACGAGCTCAATCCTCGAATGGTTTTTAATAATTCAATGAGTAGGTCAGTAGGTGCTTTACAAGGGGCGATTATTCAGGTTATTTGGTGAGATAAAAAGTCACTGTAAACATAAACTACATATTCCTTAATAGTAATACATTTATGAGAAAACAATACTGGTTCTAATTATATACAGAATTACATACAGAGAGTCAAATTTGATGTTAACTGTCTCTATTTTGGTAAAATCATCTATTCTTCAATGGTATAATTGATTTCTAAAATGTACCATAATAAAATTAACCAACCTTGTTATAAACCAAAAAGTAATACAAATATGTCCAGTAACTCGCAGACATATTTTTTTATGGCAGGAAAACGGATTTTGGCAAAAATGTACTTTTACTCGACAGTGTTATCCATTGAGTATCAATTGCCAAACCAAACCAAACTACCAGAAAAGTACGTATGTCTGTAAGGACTCTTCGTGTGTTATTTTTAATTTTAATTCACCAGTAACCTGAGATACCATATGATTTGAAATAAATATAATAGTAGGGAATTTGCATAAAACAGCACTAGAAAATTGTATTATATATCATGAGTAGAATATTTTACAAATAAAACATGTCTTATGTGCAACGTGTTATACATGTTAAAGAGTGTTACAAAATTTAAACCCTGTGGTTAAACCGTTTATTTTATGAAAATGACGTCATACTTACAAGATAAAATTAAAAATTAAATGTATTAATTAAATTTTATTATATAAAATATAATTAATACATTTATATATTATATATTATTATTAATTATTCTGTTCCATTTATGTTTATTAGTACTTTTATTAAGAGAATATATGCAAGTTCTCTATTAAATAGGCTCTGGAAACACCCAAATAATATATTTTGGCAAAAAAAATAATATATTACTATACGTCTAAAATTATGCGGACAATCACAGAAAAGCATAATTTGTTACTAACGTAATTGATTTATATTAAAATTCTAGTGCCTATTTAGTTGCATGTGTTTCGATTATATTATTTTTCTAAAAGAATTTTCCATAATAAGCACCAACTTCAATAAGAAAAAAACTTTACAAAAGCTTCTTTTTTCATAAGATATTTTATAAGTGAAGATCATCTTTCAAACTTTAAATGGTAATTCTGAAAGGAATTTTCTTGTACACTTTTATAAAAGTTTATATTTTTTATTAAAATGAATTATGAACAATTCTATCATCCGTAAAAATATATTTTAATGCATTTTCTAATTTACTTAAAAAAATAATTTTTAAGTTTCTAAAATTTATTAGGTTATTGGTGGTCATAAAAAATAATCACTATGACTAAAAAAAGATCAACTAATTAGTTAACGCTGCGTTATTAAAAGAGAACAAGCATATTTCACAACTTTAGAATAGATAAATTTAGGGGCAGTTTTTGTTGACTCTAATATTTTTCTTTTTATTTTGTTATTAGTAAGTACGTTTTGTTATTAGTAAGTACTTAGATTAATATAGTTTCTTCTAACGGTGCATTCTTATGATATTGGCGACCACGTTTGTCCATCTTTTCTTGTTCACTGTAGCTCGAAACAGTTCGATTGATGTTACGCCTACGTACAGGAGCCAGCTTGTCTATTTTTCCAAAGTAGACCAGTTTTCTGTTTATTAATGGTAGAAATAATTTCCTTATCTTTTCTGAGCCTTTCAAGTACCGTAATAATAGTTAAATGGTGTTTATATGAGACTCGTAGCACATTTCATATCCCTCTAACAATCTGGTAGCAGCCTCTGTAAATGTCCAATTTCATATGCTGTTGAGTAGATTGGTAATAACTGTAATTTCCTCATCAACTTCATGAATGGCCATTTTAATTTCTCCATTTGTTATCAGTTAGCCGTGTAGGTTGTTTATTTCAAGTGGTGCTCGTTCTGTATGTTCGAATCATATACCTATATTCATACATATTCTATTTATCTTTTCATTCTGTCTCAATTCTAATCAATATTGGCCTTGGTTGTCTACAATTATTTTGGTATTGCGTCGTTTACTTGTGTGTTCGACATCTCTTTCACCTTCTTGTACATATGAAAGTTATCATGTTTTTTATCAATTTCTATATCTCTTTTTCTTGTTTTTGCGTTATGTTCCTATGAAGTTTGTATTCTTCAATATTTCTGTCTTTCAGTTTTAGTCGATCCTCCATCATCTGCAGTATTTCGTCTGTCTGTCACTCTTGTTTTTTTTTTATTTTTTTTATTTCAAGTTTTAATTTGTTAGTGTAACAATAGATGTATCTATTTCATTCTACTGTCTCTCTATGTCTCTCTGTATTTTCTATGTGTTTGATGTAGTTTTCAGCTATTTTGGCGAAGCTTTTATTAAGCTCCTTTTAGACTTTTTTTCTGGATATTATTTTCTTTCAGTAGTTTTATGTCCTCTTAGGGGAACAACTTTCTTACCAATTATTTTGAGTCGTATGTCTATATTTGCAACTAATAGATTGTGGCCTGAGAAGACATCTGCTCCTGGATATGTTTTTGCTGGGGTGATGTCAATCTAATTTCTCAAGATTACCACCGATGTATCTCTTTTCATGGTATTCTGGGATGTCGTTTGAAATACGTACTCATGACAACTATGTTCTGCTCTATGTCTCCTGGCAGAACTGAATTGGTCTTTCTTCTCTTTCTTTCCTGCCAAAATTTTTTTCGTTTTCCACCACGTTTTCTATTGTGTCCTGTTTTATTTCGACGTTAAAACCACTCGTAATGATATTTAGTTCATGTTTTTTTTTGTAAGTTAAGTTTTAGAGGGTATTGAAGGGTCTGGTAATTTTTCAATTTTCATTTCAGTAGATTAGGCTGTAGGTGCGTAAACCAGAATGATATTAATGTTTGAGGACCCGCAGGCAATCTTCAACAAGTGAGCGCTATCCGACATGGGTACTATACAAATCCTAGCACTGCCTTAGCATGATCTAAGGTCTTTAGTGACTGTAAATCCCATTGTGTGATGGGTTATGGCGAGAGTCACACCTTCTCCTGTACGAACATGCAAATATGTGACATAACATAATCTAGAAGAGGCTCTTATATGTCCGTGTTTTTCGAAATGACAGCCTTCATAAAAGGAGTGATAATATTATCTGAATGCACATTAATAATAAAATTAATTCTATATGATATAGTATATTATATAGGAAAATAATATTTTCTTATTCATAAAATTCAATGACATTTTCGAAAAAAAAATTAAATAAGTATTATAATAATAAATCTCCAACTGACTAATTATTACTTTTGCAATTTATAGAAAAAAAAAACATCAAAATATTAAAAGCCTAGTAAATTTTAAAATATCAAACTATTCCGACAGAAAATTTTTCCTAAAATTATTCTCTGTATTTTAAATTTATTAAGGTTTAAATCAAGTATGTAATGTATAAGTATGTATAAAAATATAATTTAATTATTGCTTTAATAGATCTGAAATAATATAACATCACATAATATATCAATGTTTTAAATCGCAAAATTTAGCATTATTCACTATTATTATTAATTACTGGCCAATTACAAGCCCAAAAAAATATACCAGATATTTTTTTTTATCTTTAATCTAATTATGTGTAGGATTATTGAATAAATGTAAATTTAATTTAAATCTATGCTTGACGATTGTTTTTGGTAAAGGCTGAATCAGTGAAATATGCTATCAAACCGTAATTTAGATTAGTTTATAGAAAATTATATTAAAATTAATACTATTTAAGATATTTTATATAAACAAGTAAATCACAATATTTCTATGATCAATAAATTGTACCGAACATATTTTTTCTGCCATCAGAGAGCTGTTTTCTTATTAATTAATATATACCAATTTTTCTTGTACTTTAAATTTAATATTATATCCGATTAGTTAATAGATTTTTACATATTAGATTAAAATATAATATGTAAAAATTATAGGTTCAATTATTTAATTTTAATTTAATTTTTAATATAAAGCGTCTATTGTTTTTAATAAATTTTGTAAAAATTATATTATGGATTTTATTATGTACGTATGGCTTATTGTGCATCTGGTGATGGGTATAGTTTTGTATTATATATATGTAGTTATATGTTTCATTTAACAAGCATGAGTAGCATTGTTGTATGACACAAGCACAAATGCTATTTATATGCACTTGCACTGAATAGCGGATATGTACAATCTGGTAAGTTGCACAATATAGTTAACATATTTGTTAGTTGATTAATATTTGTATAGTTCGTCATTTAGTATATTTCTTCATTTAATAGTATACTAGTATTATATTGTATTGCAATTTTGCAGTAATCTATATGAATTATTAAATCATTTTAATTTTTTCATTAGAAATGAACCAGAAAATTTTCTATGTTCCTGGTTCAATGATGATATACACTATCATATTTTCATGCTAAATCTATGTTACTATTTACATTTAAAATTCAAAGGTATTTAAGACATTATTATAACAGGGTGGTCCGGAAACTTCGGCAGCATATTCTGCAGAATAAAAATAAGTAAAAAAGTTCGTATAAATGTATGTCCTAAAATGCTTAGTTTTGGAGATACAGGGTGTAGAAGTTTCATTTTTATTTCGATTTTTCCCAAATAATTTCTGAACTAACGTCAATATTTGAATGAAAACTGGTATCCGGGTGTTTTTTTCATATGAGAAATTTGATTTTGATGCCAATATAACTCCTACTTGTAGAGAGCGCCACCTATATAATTTTTAACTGGTTTGAAGAGTTATAACTTTTCATCCGTGCCTGTATAAAACTACTGAGTAAAAAAATATACATTTACGACGTTTTTTACGTAGAAAAGGTCTCTTGGTAAAAATCGTTACAAGTAATGGTTCTCGAGATATTTGGAATCGAAATTATCAATACCTGTCATCATTGACATAAATTAAACATGTTGACTAAATAGTTATTAGACTGAAATCATAAATTTAAAATGATTTTGTGTCAAAAGTTCAACAGAAGAAAAATTTGTGATTAATTTAAAAAAATAAAAGAAATTTATTATGACATATGTATATTGACTGTTTCCATTCTAAATGTCTTGAAAACGGTTGCTCGTAGCGGTTTTTACTAAAAGCTAAAAAAAAAGCTAAACTAAATTTTTTTACGTAAAAAATCACGGAAATGTATATTTTTTCACTCAGTAGTTTTATACAGGTACGGACGAAAAGTTATTACTCTTCAGAACAATTAAACCACATGTAGATGGCGCCCCTACAAATAGGAGTTATAATGACATTAAAATCAAATTTCTCATGTCAAAAAATTCCCAGACACTAATTTTCATTCAAATATTGACGTTACTTCATAAATTATTTGGAAAAAGTCGAAGTATAAATTACACTTCTACACCTTTTATCTCCAAAACTAAGCATTTTAGAACATAAATTTATACGAACTTTTTTATTTATTTTTATCTGCAGAATATGCTACCGAAGTTTCTGGGATACAGTTCGGACCACCCTGTATAATAAATTGTTCTCGTACAGGGTGAGTCTTAAATAAGAGTTTTTTTTTGCGAAAAAAAAATGAAAATTTGGAATTTTTGAAAAGAAAAATTGAAAATGTTTTTAGTTTTTAGTTAAAAAACATAATTTGTTGATAATATGGCAACATAGGTAGCAGATTAAATTTACAAAAAAGGAAATCCAGAAAATATCCAGTGGTTTTCAAAATTTTAGCAAAAAATCATTTTTTGGAAATTTTCAAAGTAAAATAACTCGGTTATTTTGAATTTATTGGAAAAACGGTCAAAGAGAAGATATGTTTCTTTTATCGAGATCTATCATCCCTGAAAATATTTGCACTTATTTAAGACTCCAATGAGAAAATTTGAGTTTTTGAAAAAGTTAAATACCTACTCTCATTTGATAAAAGTTAACTAATTTTTTAAAAAAAGATTTTACTACTTTACTAAGTCAATAAAGAGGACATTTCAACAATATATAGGGTCAACAAATTTTAGTTTAAGTCGAAATAATAATAAAGTTAATTCCAAAAAGTTAAATTCTATGTAAAACAATTCCTTCCGCTTCTTCAAACGCATTTTTATTCTGTTCCAAGTATAGTAAAATAATTACGAAAAAAAAGGCGTCTAATAGACGATCATTTTTTGCGAGGTCAACCTCTAGACGTCATTTACTAAAAATTGACGTAAACCTTGTCAAAAATTAAGACTATTATAGAAAGAATAAAAAAAGAAGCGATAATTTCCATATACACAAATCTATTTCCAAATAAATGTTTTTTCTCGAATTTTACTCAATATAAAAATAAATTACAACCTTCTTAAGGCCAGCTGGCAGTAAGCGCCATAAAAAATGAAGAAGAGAAGGGGCTAAGTAAATGACGCCTAGGGCTTGACCTCGCCAAAATTATTATCGATTGACATTCCCGAACTGTCTTTGACGCCGTTTTTTTTTTCGTACTATACGAACATGCGCAACTCTATCAATCACTGCATCAATCTCTCTTTACTTTTTTTAATTTTATTTATTTTTATTTTCTTGTTATTTTTATAGCTTAACGGAATCAACACCCAAGGGGAAAACATTGCTGATAATGGTGGTATCAAGGAAGCCTACTTGGCTTACCAAAGCTGGACAAAACGAAACGGTATTGAACCTCTTCTTCCCGGTTTGATGTACACACCAAATCAGATGTTCTGGATTTCGGCAGCCAACACTTGGTGCTCAACGTACAGACCAGAATCCTTAAAACTACGCATACTCACTGGGTATCATTCTCCTGGACAATTCAGGGTACAAGGACCTCTCAGTAATTCCGTGGATTTCGTAAAAGATTTTAATTGTCCCGTTGGATCTAAAATGAACCCTGCCAAGAAATGTCACATATGGTAAATAATTAATAAGTTCCTTGACAAATCTAAATATTCGAATAGTTCTGCTTACGATAGAACGTTGTGTAAAAAGCTTTATTTCTGCCAATAAGTTTTATATAGTTAGAACTTGAATATTGATCTATTTTGGTTAAATACTACTGGTTTATATTATCAGTATATTAGATTGTAAGAAATAATATTAGTGTCACGTATAGAAGAGTTTTAAAGAAAAATAATTTTATTGTAATAGCTAGGTTATTGATAGAAATAAAATTTTATTTATTGAGAATCAATTTTCTTTGAAACTCTTCTAGAAAGATTATATAATTATTATGTATCTCTGATTTAAAATAAATATTTTTTATAAGAATTTTGTTATTTTATTTTATTAACAATTATGTAATCTACATCTAAGTAATATATGTATAGAGAGAAAAGAAAATAGGAATAAAAGAAAAAAAGAGAGAAAAATGTAAAATATATTTTTTTCACTTTTCTTTTTTTCCCATCTTTTTTCTTCTACTTTATTACTTTTTTTATTTTATTCTTAATTTTTATTATTATTATTTTTCTTCAGTTCTATATTTTTCTTGCTGTTAGCACAGTACGCAAGTTTACAAATTGTATTATTTAAAACATTAACTAAATTTTGTTTTTCAAATAACTTCCTATTTCTTTAATTAATTCCTTCCTTAAAAAACATTATAAATTAATTTTTGGAGCCTAACGAGGGGCGGTAGTAAACATATGCAGCCATATATACCAAAATAATATTTATTATCATCAGCAACGGGAAGTAAAGAGCATGCTAGTTTTCATATGGTTTTTTATATGAAAACTAGCATGCACTGAGTGAAAAGATAGTAGAAACGTAGCAGCAATGGTATAAAATATATTAGAATATATTGAAAATGTTTATTAAAAAACTTTATTTAAGTATACACAACATGAATCTTTTAAATTACAACTTTACGGCTTAATACTCTTCTACTTATCACCTTCTTTCAACCATTTAGGATTTTTCTTCAGCTCTTTTTTTCAGCAGCTTAATTTAATTCGTTTCTATACATCTTTGTTATGCTCCTTTTCATTTACAGCTTTGTAACTCTAAAAAATATATTATATTTAGTTACTTATCTTTTCATATGGGACTAAATAAATATATACGTATCTTTATTGATATTTTTGAAATTAAAATGTTTTTGTTGAGTTCGTTGTAGACGTGGATTTTAAAAACTATTATCATTAAAGTATATCATAGACGGTTTTCAAAGAAACGTCTTTGTTAGTACGAGTTCCCTAAACACTTGTACTAATTTTGACATTAAAGTTAGTTTTCTATAATATTTAATTAGACTGTATTTATAAACCTATTTCTAGAAAACCAGCTAGATAAAAGTAACTAACAAATATTGAATTTTAGAATTATTAAAAACAAATAATCACTAATATAGTTTTTTAAATGAGGGGCGACATACAAAAATATGCATTTTCGAACCCTGTATAAGATACTATAAAGACGCAACAACTATTTCAAATGATTTTCTCTTCGTTGTAGACAGATAGTTACAAAAGTTTGGAATCGTTTTGTCAATGTTCCTTTGGTGTCGCGCTTTTACTTTTTTTTAATATAGAAACACTAGAACAAGGTATTTAATAAATAAAAAAAAATATTTATTGGGGTTTTATATGTTTATATACGGCCTGGGTACAATGGCACTAGGATCACAAGGGTAACGAAAACACAAATGAAATGGCCAAAAGGCTCATCAAAGCCATTCAAAGAACCAGAACCAGGGTTCGGAAGTAGTTAATTAATATGTAATTTACCTGAGTACACCTGAGTACATGTGGTTTTTTTGCAAAAACTACTTCTTTTCTTTTTTTCTACATGATGAATAAACTACACATATTGCTATTACGGTAGAAAAACAATCTTATAAATAAAAATGTTAATTTTGAAGAAATGTGTTAGGTATAAATTAATTAAAAAAATTTTATTAAAAAATTATCAATCCACATAAAAAAATGAATAATACAATATTGTGACAATATATTAAAATTATTAGATATAAAATACAAAAACTCTAAAAAATTTAAAATAACCAAATTACAAATATAAAATATCATAAGATTTTAATCACCTAGGCAGTAACCTCTTTCAAAACTTTGTAGAAAGTATATTTCCTCTATATGAGAGGTGTAAATAATTTTTTGATGCGAATGCTATATTTAAGGTATTATTTTTCTTTTTTCTTTAGATATAGCTTTAGATTAACTCATCTTTAACTTGTTATAACCCCAAACCTGCCTTAAATCTTTGATATTTGAAAGTTACATACATCTACATATACATATATCTAAGTAGATAGTTTTTAAAAGTAACATGTACTTTTCCAAACCCTGGCCAGAACCATTCTGCGGCGTTGCAAAGGCAGTCACGAGAATGGGCACAGAACGATGGGTGGCCAACAAATCTGTAGAATTTTTGAGAAAAATCACCAAGAAAGAGACAGGTGAAAAAGTTCATAGTAGAACATTCGCCAAAATGCACGGCAGACCTGATAAGCAAAGACAGAAAGACAGAACACATTTTATGTCGGTGCAACAGCCTGGCAAATGTGCGATTCTAGGCTAAGCATGCCTGATTCCTAATAGGCATATACCTAATACCTATAATAATAGGCCATTGACAGAGAGCTATATGGAGGGTTGAGTCTCCAAGTTGCTAGACTTTTTGAAAGGATAGGACTGGAAAATGCGACATAAGGAGCAAAAGCGTACCACAATAGATCTGAAACGGTCACAGTGGATCAACCGATAGCCACCTCGAAGAATCTATCCTATCTATCTAGAGTTTATACATTTTAATGTGTCTGCCTTGAGAAGTCGTTATAATTTCTATTGAACTGTAAAATATATCTTACCTCTTCTGCAATACTGATTAAATTCTCTGCCATAGCTCGCCCAGTCTGTTGTACCAGTTCATAAAAGACTCCATCCCCTTTCTTCTGTAACAGCTCATGAGGATGTCCGAATTCCACAACCTTACCCGCATCCATAACAATAACTTTATCAGAGTCCATAATGGTATGCAGTCTGTGCGCTATGGTAAGTACCGTACAATTTGAAAACTTTTCTCTAATTGTTGTTTGAATTAGGGCGTCGGTCTGAGGATCTACGTTGGCAGTCGCTTCGTCCAACACAAGAATCTTATTTTTTCGCACAATGGCACGAGCCAGGCAAACTAACTGTCTTTGTCCAACGCTGAAGTTAGAACCACCCTCAGACATCTTGCTCTCGAGACCTAGAGGCAGTTCATCAACTACTGCCTTAAGTTCTACTTCTTCCAATGCACTCCATAATGACTAAAATAGATAGAAATGTCTATTGACTATAAAATTTTATGACATTTAGTAACATCATCAATGTGTATGCGTATAAATTATATTTCATTTTGAGGTTTGACAAGTCTTCAAATGAGTCAAAAACAAGAAAGACAATGAGAGCTTATCGATATTCGGAATCCTTCCTTAAACGCTAAAATAGTAGTCCAGTAAATGAAGGTTTAGGACTTAGTTTTGGGGGAAAAACACCGTGGGGGAAAAACAAAAAATGGCCTAAAAATTAGGTTTTCGCTAATATCTTCCAAATATAGAATTTATAAAAAAAATTCTAATTACTTACAAAAATTGTCCTTATCGTGTTTTACGTAGAATACCCCGATCTGAGATATTCGAGATATTCCGCCTCGAAGATCCCTGATTTTCTCGATGGTTAAATTAGGGCAAAGTTGCTCCTTGGGATGTTTACCAAGATGCCATCAAAAAAGTTTTAAAAATTTCAAGGATAGCTGAGTTTTTTGGGAAAAAACAAATTTTTTTGAAAATCATTTTTATTTTTTCCTGGCGTTACTTTTTAGAAAATTAAAAAACTAATTGCACGTTCTCGTAGCCACTTTATTACGGCTATCTGATTTTTAGATTTTCAAATTAGCTGATAATTTGTTAGATACAGAGGCCAACTTAAATCCGACTCTTGTTTTTTAAATTATTTAATCTGATTATATTCATCGCAATAACATTGATCAGCGCTAATTAAAATTGAATAAGGAAAATCGAGAAAAATTGAAAGATTCAAAATAAATAATATCCAGGTCAGCAATTTAAAGATATTATTTTTAACTTTTCTCAATTTTTCAATGAATTTGAAATCTCAGTGTACGATCTAATAATATGCATAATATTAATCGTAGATTGTAAATAAATCAACTTCTACAAACTAGTTTCTAATGCTCTACATGTTCGAAAGGATTACAGCCCTCCCTAATGCACAAATTTATTTTTCGTTCAATCTTATTTAAAGCTCTTTGAACATATCTTCTTCTTATGGAGGACAGGAACCATCTGGCATATTATACTGTTCTACCTATATTCTTTATATTATATTTATATTATTTATTTTATATCATTTTTTATTATTTTATTGCATTTGAGTTTCCGTATTTAATGTTTTACCCTACGCCATTGTTAAGTTTGAAAGATTATCAGTATTGTAACGATGAATAGATTTAATATTGGTACCTAGGAATACATTTTTTTAATAAACTTCCACATTCTATTAGAGATTTGCCCATCATAAAATTTAAGTCTGTTCTGAAGTCATTCTTTGTTGATCGGGCGTTTTATTCTCTTAGTGAGTTTCTAGAATGTGATATTAGCAGCATTATGTAAAAATTTGAATTTCAAAGCTTGTTAATGTTTGATTTTAAATTGTCTTTTGATTATTGTGTTTGTATATTTTAGTGTTTTTTTTTACTTCGCAATATCTTTAATAATTTTACTTTTTTTTATTTTGTGTAATACTTATTGACTTGTATATGTATTTGATATTTAGCACCAATAAACTATTTGAATTTGAATATTAGAAAAAAAAACAGAGCCGGACTTGAAATTACTTTAAATAAATTGTGTTCAAATGTCTGAAACATAAAAAATATTAAGTGTGGCATATCATTGTACTCAGGAGACCGAGTTATTTCAAAACCTCAAATAAAAAATGCAGGTCCGTATTTAAAAAAATCAAGTTGAGTTCTGTATCTCACAAACTATCAGCAAATTTGAAAGTCTAAAAATACTGTCAGATAGCCCTAATAAAGTGGCTATGAGAATGTGTAATTAGTTTTTTAATTTTCTAAAAAGTAACGACAGGAAAAAATAAAATTGATTTTCAAAAAAATCGGTTTTTCTGAAAACGCTCAGTAATCAGTGAAATATTTGAAACTTCTTTGATAGCATGTTGGTGAACATCCTAAGGAGCAACTTTGCCCCAACTTAACCTTCTTCGTATCTATTACGGTTTCCGAGATACCAATGCTCGTACCTCGAATTTGTAGCACTCTGTATAATAAAAAAATAAAAGAAAAAAAATTAATAGATAATATTCTTTTTCATAATAAAAAAATATATAATAAAAAAACCGGGCAAACATTCCTTCGCTTAAAATTTTTCGTATTTTCACTAATAGTAGCTTATTTGTCAAGATTTTTTAACAATAGTTTTAGAGTCTTTTTAAGCAACTCAGAAAGTTTGAAGTATTTGTTTTATCACATTTTAATAAAAAAAGAACTATTCGTGAGTGGCCTTTCCCGCTTTTTGGAGATTTCCGGATTGTGTCGTAAACAAAAGAAAATAATTGCTGTCAAATTCCGGTATTTCCGAAAGTGCCGCCATATTGAAAATATTTTTAATCGATAGATCTCGTTATGAAACAGTAATGTGCAAAAAATCTCCGATCTAGAATCTTGTAGTTCTCTAGAAACTTCTAATGCACGCTCAGTCTGGGACACCCTGTATACTATATACTCTCGCTGAATAATATACTATCGCTGAACACACTATATTTATATTTATGAAATCTACTCACCGCATCGTCATATTCATCAAAAGGATCTAAATTCTTTCTGAGCGTTCCAGAAAACAAAACCGGCTCTTGAGGAATAATCGAAATACTTGACCTTAAACGATTAAGAGAAATATCAGCCGTATTCATATTATCAATTATTATTCTGCCTTCGTTTATGGCCAATCTGAACAGTGCCATAATAATAGAAGATTTTCCTGCACCTGTTCTACCAACAACTCCGACTTTCTCGGTACTTTTAATACTGAAATTCAGTTCTTTCAGTACGTATGGCTCATTGGCAACGTATCTTAAACTAAGGTTTTCGAATTTAACGTCTCCCTTTGCAGGCCAGCCCTTTGGTGGGTCTTTGGTATTACAGTCCGGTTCGGGTACCACATCTGCATACTCCTTTATTCTTTCCACGCATGTCATCGTGTTTTCTAGTTCGCTCCACTGTCTCATGCCCCACTGAAACATTCCTGTCAAATTAAGGGCTTGGGTAATGGCCAAACCAACGTTTCCTCCGAAGTTTTCTGAAATAGAGAATTATTAAAAATATACTTAAACTATATCGGGCGATGACAATGAACTTCATAGCTTATGCATTACTTTTTATCATACAAATTTAAAAAGTAGGTTCAAATATAATTTATCAAAACTTATATTTTTCGTTAAAAAGAAATATATCCATTGTGGTGGATCGTGACGTAATGCAACAGAGCCATAGCACAACTTTCATTTTTTTCTTTCAAACCAATCTTTGAATTGAAACTTCTTTACGCGCACTGGGAGTAAAAATTCAAGACCGTGACACACGAGATGAAACGCAAGACCTAACGATCTAACCTAACGATCAAAAAAATGGTAAGCCAAGTCGCCTTCGTAAGTTCAATAGAACTATTTATGATAAAAAAAAATAGATAAATGGTTGTGTTGTAACTGAACTCCTTATACTAGGGCTGGCATTTCTGGTCTTGGGTGCCGATTTGCGTGTGTACGAAGAGTACGGTCAACATGCTTAGCAAAATAAGATGTACTGAATAAAGACAGAAGGCAAGTATTTTCCCAAGCGCATAGAATCTAGCGTCAGATTAAATGGTTATGTAATAAATACTTCGTATCTTTGCTCTCTCCGACTTACTAGATTGCCATAGCGACCCAAAGTTTCGCTTGCCAGCAGGGTCTACATGTGGGATGTTTATCAGTAGTTACCAAGATTTTAAATTATCCAAAGTCGCTAAATATTAAAACAACTTTCTGTCAACTTAGTCGCCTCTGTATTTTTTGAAATCAACCAATAAGAACAATATTCGCAATTCCCATTTTGCAATTCGCGTGTATATTAACCTAGCTCAGAACTTTAAGCAACTTTAAGCACTGACTACTGAGAGCTGACGGTACAGACTGTCAATCTATTCAGGGAAGATTTCGATTAGACATTTTAAAAACTGACAGAAAGTACATTTTACCTGTGCATTAAAATAGCAGACACAACTGCCAGCATCATGTATCCTTTGATTGGACCGTCCATATATGTGACTGGTTTTTTCAATTTTATTTTGATTTAAAATGTTGACCCTCACTGATTTCAAGTGCGAAAAAATACCTAATTATAATAGATTCTTACCTGTATCAAAAAATAAGAAGCTAAACGTAACCAGCGTAATAAACAAGACGCAATGCATATCCAGCCAGAATCCAAAAGTACGATTAGCACCGAGAAACATGAAGTACGCAGAACTGTATGAATTCTGATATGAGTCAAACTCGGACTTGAGAATCTCTTGAGCACCAAAAGCCCTTATTGTTGTGAGACCTTGAAGTGATGCTGTTAAGTGTGAATAGACGGGACTTCTGGCTAGAAGAATAAAAACGTTAAACACACACATACTAATATAATAAATGATATAGATTTACTTATTCCTTCTAAACGCTTGATGTCTCTACTTGTAGCTAAAAACCCAACTCTCATGTAATAGAATATTGTCAGCATTATCACCGTGGGTAATAACATCCAAGGATTAACAATAGCTATAACAGTAGTTATGGCTAATACGGTAAGGGATATCTAAAAATGTTAACTTTATTATTTAACAGAAATTATTAAATAAAAAATACTAAGTAAGGAATCTGTCAAATGCTAGTTTTATAATCTGTATTAACCCTTAATCTCTACAGAGTGGTCTGTCAAACACTTCGCGCTAAACATTTCTTTATATTTCGTAAACGTCTACAATTATTGTAGTAATGAGGATGCATATGTTAAGCTCAATAGTCGAATTCGGGAATGCCCGAAAAAAATACGCAAATCTAGTTTTGAGCAAGGAATATTTCCCAAACCCGAAAAACCAACTAATCAATGAATTAACACCCTCCAAATAACCACGCTAACCAACTCGCCAAATAAGTAAACCAATCCAACCAAAAAGAGTGAAACCAATGCAATCAAATCAAACTAAAAGCAAAAAAAAATAATCTAATAGTAACCAAACCAAACCCGAAAAACCAACTGATCAATGAATTAACACCCTCCAAATAACCACGCTAACCAACTCGCCAAATAACTAAACCAATCCAACCAAAAAGAGTGAAACCAATGCAATCAAGTCAAACTAAAAGCAAAAAAAAAAGAATCAAATAAAATTAATTTTTCGGGTTTGGGAAATATTTCTTGCTCAAAACTAGATTTGGGTATTTTTCTCGGGCATTGCCCGAATTCGACTATTGAGCGTAATAATTTTTTTTACAACGATTAAAATCAAATAATTAAAACAATCATACCTGTAAAGTGTCCAGTAGTGTCATTGGTAAATTTTCATCGACTTGATTCATATCTTTTGAAAATCTATTCAAAATTCTTCCTGATGGATTAACATTGAAAAATCTCATTGTGGCATACACAATCTTATAAAACATATTATTGTGCATTCTCACAGATGCCTTGTTGCAAAATCGATAAAATACGAGTGATCTGAATATTGTTAAACTAATTACTATGAAAATTGCCACACTGTAAGTAACAGGAAGCACTGTTTCATCCATATATGTAAACCAAAATTGATGAAATGGTGTGTAACTAAATTCAGATGCATTGAATAGGGATACATCAGAATCGTTATATAAATCAACATTCAGTGGAAATGAATTATTATGTTGTAAAATAGAAGAGTTTATTTTTTCAGGGTATGTTTCATTAACCGTTTTCTGAATTTGGTTCATGTTTACCCTAAAATATGAATAAAATTTATTAATATTCGTTGTATTTTAAGTAAATAGAGGGTGCCCCAATATTCCGTGGATATACTACGTATTTTTTGGAATCAAATTAGTTTATTGGGCAAAATTTACCTCTATACAAAAGTGCTTCGTTTGTACTCTAGAGGGCATCAAACTTTAGAAAAATAAACACAATCTTTTCAGGTATTTTAAGAACTCTTATTTGGATTTGAATGAGATTTTGGGTGTCTATGTTTTGCTAAGTTCTCTAACATTTGACTTTCACCAAAATCAAGAAAAAATACGGGAAGGGTAAAAACTACCCCTACCACTACATAAATTTTAGGATAAATATTTTCCAACACCACCAACGGCCGGTTTTCTTTTTGTAAAATAGCCCCCCTAGTATTTACTACATTTTTTATATTTTGTAAAAAAAGCCACCATGCATACTTTTGAGGAAAAAAAATATTTCCGAAACTGACTCCTAAAAAATGTTTTTTTTTATCACATCGAGCTATGCACTGATAAAAAAGATAGACTTGAACTAAAGTCGTCATCGTTCTTAAAAAAAATTTAGTGGCAAGAGAATTTATTTTAGCGTAAAAGAAAATATTTTGCCTGAAGAAAAACTCTCTTAACTCAAGAAAACTTGTTCTCTTGATAAATTCGAAAATTTCTCTTCAATCTATTTTCATTCAACCAAGTGCAAGTTACTTTGTTTTAAGATAATAACAAAAATACGCTAGGCAGTACTTCATTCAAGAAACATGGCCATTTTTCCAATAGCTAAATACTATTTTGTTGAAAAATAATAACGACACGCCAAAGACGATGACGAAAGACGGTATATACAATCAGTCGGCAGTCCGATCAGTAGTACGCACGGGTTTTGTTGCTTGGAATTTTCCACTTGGAATTTTGCATAATTTGCTTTTTAAACGCATATCGTATAACAAATTAGTGATCGTTATTAACATGCATTTGTCATTTTTATGGACAAATTTTAGGATATATGGATTCTTTAAAGGAGTTTCTGAATAAATGGAAATTAGAGCATTTATTTGCTATATTTGAAGGTAAGAGACATTTACCTAATGCACCTGTTTAGATAATGCATGCGTGACTATAAATAGAATAAGAATATAGGTATCAATCGATTTTTTTCTGCAAATAATTACAAAAATTTAAGAATTTCAAGGCGTCGTATTAAAAAATTCAAAATGTGACCAAAGCTTATAATTTTAATAATTTGTTTGCTTTACTTTGATTAATCGTGATGTAACATTTTTTTGTAATTTGTAGAGTGATGAACCACCCCAAAAAATACCAAGGAGTGAAGAAGCAGAAATACCTACTATCGAGGAAAATAATATCACTTTACTTACTGCAGACCAGGAAAACCTAAATTTATCAGAAAATTATATAACTCGTAATATGCCTGTATATGATAGACTGAGATAGACTTCTCTTAGATCGAAATAAATTTTAGTTGAGTTAATAGTATTCGCTATTGGTTTAAGAAAAGTGTCTCTTTAATCAAGAAATGTCCCTTTTCAATCAAGAATTTTTGCATGAATCAAAGAGACTATTGTTCTTGTAGCAAGAACTCCTTTGCATATTAATTTTGGGTCAAAAGTGAAATACTTTGGACAGATAGATTCTTCTATTCTCTAAAGTAATTTTTTAAAGCTTATGAAAAGATAGCTAATGCTTTGGGCAAAGAAACGTCGTTCTTGGCCCTATTGAAAAGCGCCAATCCTTTGGGCCAACATAAGCAAATCTGTCGTCGGTGGAGTTGGAAAATATTTATACTAAGATTTATGTAGGGTTAGGGGTTAGGGGTAGTTTTCACCCTCCCCGTACTTTTTCTTGATTTTTGTGAAAGACAAATGTTAAATCACTTAGCAAAATATAGACACCCAAAATCTCATTTAAATCTAAATAACGGTTCTTAAAATATCTGAAAAAATGTGTTTATTTTTCAAGTTTGATGTCCTCTAGCGGACAAACAAAGCACTTTTGTATAGAGGTAAACTGTGTCCAATAAACTTATTTTGGTTCCAAAAAGACGTACTGGTTATATGTCCACGAAATATTGGGACACCCTGTATATTATATGCTTACCAAATTGTCAAAAAGTAGTCACATGAGCTTCCTATAGCTTGTGCTATCACAAATATAATAAACAATGTCAAAATTTTGCACCAATGTCCACCTGATACAAAATATGATTTATAAACTTCCCAACTAATTTTACCGCTACCTCTCGATTCTTTCTCAAGTTCCGGATTCTAAAAATTATTGCATTAGTAAAGTCTTTCTTTAGTTTACACAATTAAAATACATTCTCGTTTCGTGGAACTACTTCTTTTGTCGAAATCCTTCTTCTTCTTAAAGGCTTAACATCTTCATCGCTTTTAGTGTCGTCAGTCTCTTCTTCATCTATAATGTTTTGAAGTTCACTCAAAAGCTGAGTAAAAGATTTTCCTGAATTTTGAATATCATCGTACGTTCCAGAGTGTTCAACAGTTTTATTTCCGAGAAGATAAATATTTGAGACGTTTTTCAGGTATTGAAGCTGATGCGTGACTAAGACGACACATTTGTTTTTTAAATATCCGGTAATGCAGTCATCAAAAAGTTGTTTTCCTACATGAGCGTCTACAGCTGATAAAGGATCATCTAACAGATAAATTTCTGCTTCTTTATATACAGCTCGTGCCAGATTAATACGTGCCCTCTGACCACCACTCAGTGAAACTCCACGTTCTCCAACAATGGTGTGATCACCGTGCGGGAATAACGTAAAATCTCGTTCCAATGCGCAGGCTTTCACTACTTTGTAATACCGATCGATGTTGAATTTCTGCCCAAAAAGAATATTCTGTCTAACGCTTCCGACAAAGAGCCACGGTTCTTGAGAAGCGTAGGATATAGGACCATTAACATCGATAATACCGTCTAGAGGCTCTAATTCACCTAAAATTGCATGTAGGAGAGTAGTTTTTCCACTACCAACTGGACCAATAACTGCTGCTAGTTTTCCTGGCTGAACATCTACATATAAATTTTCCAAAGTATTCTCTTCTGTCGATTTTATCCATTTTACACTCGCATTTTTAAAACGAATGCCGATGGGTTTGTTACTTTCATTGCCATTTGCTATAGCCTTCAGACTATTACTAGATTGAAAGGCGTTAAAGAATGATGAACTAGAATCAAAGTTTATTTCATCATATAAGAGAAATCGTGTAATTCTCTTTACGGAAATGTTAGCTTCCGCAAACTGAGTGACTCCTTGCGGGAAGAACATAGTAACGCTGAATTTCAAGACGCTATAAAATGATGTTACTACAAAAACATATTGAGCGTCTAAGATATTGCCGGTAAAAACATAAGCCAGAATGCATACGTAAACGGCAGCTCTGTTCACAAATAAGTTAAATGACATCATTATAGCTCTGATAATTGATATGTTCTTAATTTGCTGCATTTCTTTTCTGGAAAGAAAAATATATTATAAGAAAAAAAGTACGGAGCGATCAACAGTGGTTGAAATCATATAAAATAGTTGGCAATGTTGTTTTAGAGGATTTAGGATCAGTAATTGGTAGTGATGCTAAAACTAGTTATCGATCGAAAAATGCTTGCAAATTATGACAATTAATTAATAAAATTTTCTTTAGAGGTAAATAAATAAAAATATTGGCTAATCTCGGCCGCAAACACCGAAACAGAGCGAAATCGATCGAGACGAGTCATGATTTGTTTATTTTCTATTGTTATTGGAATTGTCTCTCAAAATGTTTTGGGAAACGTTTCGATAAAACTTTTGTAGGCGTCTATATCCTTCGTACTATTTCGCGAATTAATCGAGACCAACAAACGGGCAAGTAACCCCAAATCTATATATGTCATAATCAATAATCTATACTAATATATAAAATCCTTAAGTGACTGACATACTGATTAATCACGATCCTGTTCAAACCACGCAACATAAGAAGCTCAATTTGGGCATACAGGTTGATTCTAGGGTGTAGAGGTTCGATAAGAAGGAATTTTTCGAAATTCCAGTTCCAAGAGGGTGAAACCACCCCTCAAATATTACATTATTTTTTATTTAAAAAACGGTCAAGTTTTAGAAAAAACGCTTAAACACTTATATTTTATTTTGTTTTTACATACATATTTTAAGATTTTTTTAAAAATGTATACAGGGTGTTTAGAAAAATCTGGTCATTGATTAATCACGATCCTGCTTAAAGCGCTTGACGTAAAAAGCTGATTTTTGGAAAACAGATTGACTTTAGAGTGTAAAGGTTCGATAAGAAGGGATTTTTCGAAACTCGAATTCTAAGGGGGTGAAACTGTCCCTCAAATATTAAAATATTTTTTATTTAGAAACCGCTGAGTTTTTCGGAAAAACTCTTAAACACGTATATTTTATTTTGTTGTTTTACATATTTTAAGATTTTTTATAAATTTATACAAGGTGTTTCATAAATTATGACCATTGAGTAATCACGATTCGGCTTAAATTGCTTGACGTTTAAAGCTGATTTTTGGTAAACGGATTGACTGTGGGGTGTAGAGGTACGATAAGGAGGGGTTTCTCGAATCTCAAATTCCAAGAGGGTGAAAACGTCCCTCAAATATTACAATATTTGTTATTTAAAAAACGGTTAGTCTTTCGGGAAAACGTTGGACAAGAATAATTTATTTGGTTTTTTTACATATTTTGAAATTTTTTAAAAAATCATACCTACAGGGTGTTCCAAAAAGTTGGGTAATTTCTTAACCACGATTCTGCTTAAACTGCTGGAGGTAAATAGCTTATTTTTGGCAAACGGATTTTTCGAAAGTCCAATTCCAACGAGATGAAACTACCCCTCAAATATTACCAAGTTATATAATAATATCGCCATATTGTTTTTTCTCATGCTGATATAAATGTGAGAAAATTTTATCCAGTTTGTATGTTAATGGAAATTTTTGCTTTGCTTTATCATCACCATTACAAATGATTAATTCGACGCGAACGAAGTCGCTGGTACACGCTAGTAAATTATAAAACTTTCAGATTAAATCTATTTAAGTTACAAGGTTGGATATGGAAACAAACGAAACAACAAAAATTTAAAAACACAGTAAAGAATGGAAATACTTGTTAACTCTGAGACGACACTATCAATAATTATAAATGTAATACATGTAATACACCCTCTACACTATGCGGAAAACAAGCCGAAGCGGGTCAAGGTCGTGTTTCCTGGTCTAACTCTGTCTCGTTTTTGGCTTATCTCCGCTTTTCTTGACCTATTTTCATTTCTTAAAAACACCTCGAAACCACTCATGAAATTGCGGAAGAAGGATTTCCTGGCGACTTTCGGTTGTCTCCTGTTGTCTCGTTCAATTTCGTTTTGTCTCGAGCTAGTTCTACGACATGTCGGTTTCTATACCCGAGACAAACGACTTTTTTTCATAAATCTCAATGAAATAACTAAACCTGTACGTTTCTGAAATATCTGTTGTTACGATGATATTTCGTTAATTACATCTGGTTTTATGTTGATATACTTATATTCCGCAAGATTAATATTTGAACACACGTTTATAATATGTGTAGATCTTAGACATCTAAGAACAAAACTTTTCACTTAATATGCAGGAATATAATTACAATATTTTTATTATTTAATTTTATTATAATGAATTATTTATATATACACATTGGACCCGATGTCAAGAAAAATATGGTCCACGGACATTTTTTAAGTAGCATGTAGGAGTCTTATTGTTTTTAAGAGAAAATTCTAAACGATACTTTCATTGGCATCCAGCATGGTTTAATAAAAATCGACTCAAAAATAAGAAATAATTAGGCAGAAAAAAAATAAACAGACCGCCGTCGTATCTGTATCTAATGCCCAATCCTCTCTCCTGTAGTTTGGTGTCCACTATAATGGAGAGCGCTGCCGTATGTTGAATAGGAGAGGCGCTAAGACACATCCCTGTCTAACTCCCGTACTTGTTAGGAAGGGATCGCTCAGTGATCCATGATAGTGACGCTCTTGACTGGTTGGTTTGGTTTGGTTTGGTTTGGTTATTGGTTTGGTTTGGTTATTGGTTTTACACACTATAAGAAATTTGTTGGGTACTCCGAACTTTTTCATAATTGCCCAAAGTGCATCTTCTCTGTTCACAGAATCGAAGGCTTTTGTTAGATTATATGAATGCAACATAAAGTTTGACTGTTGCTCTTTTAGTTTTTCCGGTAGTTGGCGGATGGAAAATATGGAATCGACGGTGCCGTGGTTGGTTCGAAAACCCGTTTGCGATTCTGTAAGGATTTTTTCTATATATGGGTGCAGGCGGTTTGACATAATTTTTGCAAGAATTTTTCCTCCGATAGCCAATAGTGAAGTTCCTCGGTAATTTCCGCAGTGTGATGCACTGCGGATGTTCCTTTGATGTTCCTTTGTTGCTGATGTTCCTTTGTTCTTAAATATATTCACGTTGCGAAAGTCCTGATGTACCTCCCCGCTTTCCCATATGACATCGAAAGAGCCTCAAGATGACCAATAAGTTCTTTACTTGCACACTGGTCAGTGCCACATTCGGCATCTATTCTGGCTTTTGTGAGTCTGACATCTTTTAGATGCGTCCTTCGAACGATTACGTGGCCCAATTGATGCTAGTGGCCTGATTTGGGATGTTTCCAGGTACCTTTAAATTTGTCCTTCAACATGCACCACGCACCAATACGTGCAAAGAATATACTCAGCGCATGTTTTTAATAAGCGTTCACCATTGCTATTTACGTTTCCTATTCCATGTTTTCCCAATATGTTAGGCCCTATTTCCTGTTGTTTGCCAACACGGGAATTAAAGTATTTGTACATTTTTTACATTCTTGTGTAACCTTAGAGCAATAGCCAATCTATCTACCATCGATAACTGTTTTATAAATGCACTCTTTTTGATTTTTCGTATCATGACAAACTAATGATATTTATTCATACTCCATGTTTACCTATTTTTCTGAAACCACCACAAAGTTTGACCATTATTACTTTGCGAAATAGTACGAAGAATATAAACACGTGTTATAAAAGAAACGTTTCCAAACGTTTCTCGAAACATTTCCCGAGACAATTCCAATAACAATAAGAAAACAAACAACCAATCACGGCTTATCTCTATAGATTTCGATCTGTTTCAGGGTTTGCGGTCGAACGAAGCCAAGATTCCCCGCAGCATAAGAAAGGCATTGAGTTTACTCTGAAAGTATTTCGAGAAATGCTTCGCGAAATGTTTTACGCAATATTGCCAGAAATGTTTTGTGGAACATTTTGGGCATAGTATAGAGGATGTTTAAAAATGAAAAGTTTGTAGTTCTTTTCTTTCATTAAACAAAAACTACTGTCGTCGACAGTTTTGTCATACGCGATTGCTATAAAGTAATTTTCAAAAGTGTCGCTGGTGGACGGGAATGACGTAACATTTATTCTTCATCTCGTTTTTATTAGTCTCACATTATTATCGAGAATCAATTTTAATACAGTGAAATAATAAAATTAATTATATTATGTAATTTTTGGTTTGTTTTGACTCTAGTGATGACAGCCAATAAATATTCGAGTGTCTTCAATATGTTGCCAACCAAACGAGCGAAATCAGCATAGATCACAGCATAAATCAGCTATTTCAATCATTGTTTATCGCCCCGTACTTTAATTAAATAAAATATTTTTGAGTACATGGATTGTACTAATGTCTTGCACAGTCTATATACTATAACTTACCTACGACTGATTTCTACAAGTTTTGCAAACGGCTTTTCCCATGTGTACATTTTTATGACCTGAATTCCAGAGATAATTTCATTCATTAATCGAATTCTTTCGTCAGTTCTTATTGCTGTGGCCAAACGAAATTCTGATGTTTTCTTGCCCAACCACACTGAAAAGTTGTTGCTGTATAAATGTGAATAATTATATCGAATATTAGAAAAACTATATGGAAATTACGAGTATATGTATAATTACTATCATTCATTGAAAGTTTCTCTAATTTTCATTCAATGTTTGCATCCTTAAAAATAAATCTTTAAAAAATGTACGGCTTACTTTGCAATGGTATAAAACATAGCATAAATATAACACCGGGAATCCCACTTACTCCAACATAGTAATAAATTAGAATAAGCACTATCACTGTTTCTAGAGGGGCGATCCACAAATGATGAATATGAATTGTCATCACCTCAAATCTTCCCACATCATTCGAGAGTAGATTCACCATTTGACCGACAGTGGTGTCGGCAAGAGAACTTTTATTTAGTTTCAATGCTTTTCTGTATATCAGAGCTGACGTGGCCACTCTTATTTTGGCACCTAAAAACAAATAAGCGTAGAGGTATTAAATTCAAACTAGTATTATATGATAAAAAAAAATATAAAAATTGATTGCTTCAAATTGAAATCGAATCATAATAATATTAACATAATAATATTTTTTGTCTATGTGTTCTTAATCACAAGATTTGCACGGAGATTTACACGTTAATTTATAAATTAAATACATCGAGAGGGGACCTCCAAAAAAGTGCTACTGCCTGCTAGTAGATAGAGCACAGATTCTTTCAGCAAGGGATGCGATTTATAACACCAGCGAAGCTGTACCGGGAAAATCTAACAAAAAGAAACAACCAGACTGGTTTAACGAAAATCAACCGCATATACAGGCCTTGGTGGAACAAAGACATAGAGCACATCAAGTAGCCAACGTTTCGAAAATGGGTTGTCGCAAAAAGCTAATCAGATTCAAGAGTAGGTACCCCGCGCATCACAACTATCGTAAATTCTTCGAGGCTGTAAAAAAAGTATACGGTCCAACCCAGAAGGTAAGCTGCCCAATCATGGCACAAAATGGCGAACTTCTAAAAGAGGAAGAGCAAATCAAAAATCGCCGAAAAGAGCATTACAACCATATCCTTAACCCAGAAAACAACGCCAATATAGAAGCATTAAACACAATACCTCAGTATAAGAGCCTTAATGTATTAGATATCTCAATAACGGAACAGGAAATAAAGGCCTTAACAGCTTAAAAACAACAAATCAGCTGACTGTGACGCGATTGTACAAGTAACAAACTTATTGGTCACCTTAATGCTTTCTTCGATGTCATTTGGGAAAACGGAGTGGTACTTCAGGACTTCTGCAACGCAAATATAGTAAATATATTTGCGAACAAAGAAAGTGCATCAGATTGCTGACACTACCGGGGAATTTCAATACTGACTATCAAAGAAAAATTTCTTGCAAACATATCAAACCGACTGCACCTACATATAGAAGAAATCCTCCCAGAACAGCAAACGGGCTTTCACACCAACCGCGGTACCGTTGATTCCATATTCTTCGTTCGCCAACTAAAGAAAAAAATAAAAGAGCAGCAGTGTATGTTGCATTCATCGACCTAACAAAAGCCTTCAACAAATCTCCAATAAATATCTTACAGTGTCTAAAAGCCTCCATAACAAGAACGAGCGCCTTTTCTATTCAATATATTCATGACAGCGCTTTCCATTAAAAGGAAGGAGGAATGGGCATTTGATACAAATACGACGACGGTCTATTCAACACAAAAAGACTCAGGACAAAGAAACGTATAAAATTCATCACAGAACTTCATTACGCTGATGACTGCGCTCTAGTTGCAAAAACGTTACAGCACTATTAATAAATGTTGAACACATATAATACCTGAGCATATAATACCTGAACATCGATAAAACTAAAACCATGTGCACTCCCCCGGAAAATCGTAACAATGCTATAAAAATCGAAGAAGAACACAAAGAGAAAGAACTCAAAGAATTGGAATATGTAGCGGAATTCAATTACCTCGGCAGTTTGATTTCGGAAAAGGCCAATATCAACTCTGAACTTCAGCACAGAATTGCCAGCGCCTCGAGAGCATTCTGGAAATAAAAAGACAGGGTTTTCTACAATCATGACTTGAGCACAAAAAGAAACTTGCAGTGTACCTAGCAATAATAATCCCTAATCCCCACCATGTTATATGGAAGCAAAACCTTGGTGTCGTACCGCCGGCATATGAACGTATTAAACAAGTTGCAACAGAAAGACCTAAAAGAACTGTTATGAATCAATTGGTACCACCATGTCTCAAACGTATCGGTCCTTGAAAAAGCTAGATGCAAGAGTGCTGAAGTCACGATTACTAAATCCCGCTTAATATGGGCTGGTTACGTATGCAGGATGTAAAAAAAACGCCTACGTAGAACGGTAAGAGAAACCCGGGTGGACTCAAAAACCGAGGGCCAAAGGACCGAAGAAACCAAAGGAACGAGAAACTCAAAAGGTACAAGGATATGTTCTATGAAAACTTAAAGGGGATAAGCATGCAGAACCAGTGGGAGGAAGCAGTGCACAATAGAACGCAATGGTAAAGAATAATTTACGCCTTGATAAACCATCTTCTGATGCGTGTCAAATACTCGTCAGCGAATAATGACAGTAAGTTAGGCAGTAATATTAAAAAATGAGGGTAAATGCGCGGTAAAATGCTAAACCACCTCAAAGTACTACCTCTCTGATATTCCATAAGGCCATTCTGTCGTAACAAGAAGCATAACTGTTAAAATTTGATACAGTATCATATACATACCTAAATGAAGTGTGCGTAACATGAACGAGTGTATAAATGCTGAAGCTACAAAAGAAGATAAAGCAACACCTCCAGCGTAACAATATGCTTCTCTTTTTGTCATTGTACTGTTCGGTTCATAATAGCGAAGAAGTTGTGAAATTATCAAAGGCTGTGCTAATCTAAAACAAATAATTTATAAATATTAATGTAAAGAAAAAAATTAGACAGTATGGGGATGTTTCCATTTTCTCGCCAAGTTTTATTTAATAATATTAGGCTTAAAAATATCTATACCTATGTGGCGGATTCATCTCTCCAAAAAATCGAATCGAAAATAACGAACAAAAAAATGTTTAACGTTTCGGAAAGTTTATCTCTCTCCGTCGTCGGAAGCAAAAAAAATACAAAGAATAAAGAAAAATACTATTTAAACTATTTAAATTCGACTATTCGAGAACACTTAAGTTTTTTAAAACGGATACGTCTACAAAAACCGTTGACGTTCTGTTAAAATGACATTATATCAAATTAAACTTCAAAATTAACAATTACTACCTGATAACAATTACTTAATAAGGTAAAACCAAAAAGCCCCAAACTTTCCGATTATTTTTAAATTTTACGTAAGTTATGTTTATTTATGTTATGTTCTTTAAAATCAAAAAAGCGATTGCCATACATTACTAATATCTACAGATGCATGAGCAATACATTTATTTTTATTTATTATTTTGTATTATTGATTGTATTAAAAAAGCCTCTTTTATTTTTCTTTTAGCGGCTATCGCTTCTTTCATTATAATTTTGGCGATATTAAAACTTATTCTGTGCCCTATGTCCCATGAATGCTGACAAATCTTAGATTTGTGAAAATCTCCATTTCTTAAATAATCTTAATTAAATTAAAGAACATAAAAGAATAAAATAACAATAAGAAGAATTAAAGAACATAAATGTATTGCTCATGCCTCTGTAGATATTAGTAATGTATGGCAATCGCTTTTTTAATCAATCAATCAATCAATCATTGCTTTATTGCTATAAGATTTCTCTTGTTTACAAAGCTGTGGCAAATAATAAATAAATATAAAACAAATACAAAATATACATTTTTGATTTTTGATTTTGAAGAACATAACATAAATAAACATAACATACGTAAAAATTAAAAATAATCATACAGAAAGTTTGGGACTTTTTGGTTTTACCTTATTAAGTAATTGTTCTCAGGTAGTAATTGTTAATTTTGAAGTTTAACTTGATATAATGTCATTTTAGCAGAACGTCAGCGGTTTTTGTAGACGTATTTGTTTTAAAAAAAATAAAGTGTTCTCGAATAGTTGAATTTAAATAGTTTTATTCTTTATTCTTTGTATTTTTTTGTTCGTTAGGCAAATTTGTATATTTTTAAACCTAGCTTCTGACAAGTAGTTTCCGTTTGAGATTAACGCAGAAGTGTTTACATAAAATAACAGCTATTTTATTTTGTAGATTTTCTTGCAGTGGCGAAATGCCCATATAGGATTTTTTGGAAATATTAGGCTTTTGAAATATAAATAATAAAAAATGCTGCGAAAATTTATTTGTTCGGAAGCGAAACAAGATAAGTTTAACAACGTTTTTCATCCATAAATAGGAATCAACATAAAAATCCCGATATCAACCTTCTGCTAGATAAACGATCACGCACCATATGTATCATTATTTCAATAAAAGCCGAAATTAATACTAATATCTATAATTATTAGATATATTAATTATAAAATATACAGGGTGCTACAAATTCGGGGTACGAGCATCAGTATCTTGGTAACCGTAATAGATACGAACATGGTTAAATTGGGGCAAAGTTGCCGCTTTGGGATCTTCACCAAGAAGCTAACAAAAAAGTTTTAAAAATTTGAAGGATTGCTGAGTTTTTTTGGAAAAAACGGATTTTTTTGAAAATTAATTTTATTTTTTCCTGTCGTTACTTTTTAGAAAATCAAAAAACTAATTGCACATTCTCATAGCCACTTTATTAGGGCTATATGACAGTATTTTTAGAGTTTCAAATTAGCTGATAATTTGTGAAATACAGAGGCCAACTTAATATTTTTAAATACGGACATGAATATTTTAGTCCAGGTTTTGAAAGAACTCGATTTCTCGAGTACAACGATATACCACACTTTATACTTCTTTTTGATTTGGGTACCTTAAATCCCTAATCTGATTATATTCATCGCAGCAATATTGATCAACGCTAATTAACATTAAATAAGGAAAATCAAGCCAATTGGAAGATTCAAATATCCAGGTTAGCAATTTAAAGATATTATTTTTAACTTTTTTTAATTTGAATTTGAAATCTCAATGTACGATCTAAAAATCATTATATTAATCCTCGTTATTATAAATAAATCAACTTCTAAAAACTAGTTTCTAATGCTCTACATGTTCAAAATAGTTACCCCCGCCCTATTGCACAAATTTATTTTTCGTTCAATTTTATTTATAAATCTTTGAACAGATCTTCTTCTTATACTTCCTAATGCATTTTTACTCTTTATTGTAAATGTTGTTTTGTAAAAATGTATTCATTCACTTTTACGAATGATGTTAAGTAATGCCCCCCGCCCCTTGGCACCAGGTCCAGAAACCTCGCTGGCCATGATACTGCTCTGCCATTTCCAATGCATCTTCCGGGGAAATGATTTGATTGTTTATATTATATTATGTTGTTTTTTTAGAGTGTTATTTAATTGTATTTTTAAAATTGAATTGTGTTTCTAGATTGTAATTATAATTTTCTGAAGAAGACCTAAGAATGGTCGAAACGTACGTAAGAAATAAAAACAACTTTTAATTATTATGTTTTAAATTGCTGGCCTAAAACCAAGAATAAATCCCAACTATTATATTATATTTATATTATTTATTTTACATTATTTTTTATTATTATATTAAAAATAATGACAGAGAAAAATTAAAAAAATAATTTTCCAAAAAACTCAGCAAACTTTGAAATTTTTAAAAGTTTATTGATAGCATCTTGGTGAACATTCCAAAGCGCAACTTTGCCCCGATTTAACCATGTTCGTAACTATATATAGGGTATATGTTCGTACCTATATATAGGGTACAATAAATAATATCGTTATAATCTTAAGCATATTTCTGATTTTTTTGTTTTATCAATTCTACACTATCTGCTAAAATGAAGTGCCGGTGGAAGATTATAGATCTGTTTTTATTTAAATGCACAAATAAATAATTTCCAGCAATTTGTCATTGCCTTTTTAGTTCCAACTTTTTTTCCGCAGGCTCTACGGCTAATACTTTCCGAGATACAGCCTAGGATTGTACTTAATGAAAAACCTGGTATATATTACGGATTCTTTATAACAACGAAAGGAAGATAAAATTACTTGCATTGTCCTTACCTTGCGCATATTTCATTAAATAAATAACATATTCCTAAAATAGACAATTCCTTTCCAAAAACTTTTAGGAGACATTTCCATAAAGATGGATTTTTACGATTATTTTTCAGTTCAGTCTTCCAGTATTTTTCTATTTTATCTCCGAGTAGTTTGGAATCGTGTGATTTCAAAGACGGGTAGATATCTTCTTCCAGCAGATCTTTTTTCAAACCTTTTACAAAGAGTGGTAACATCCATCTATAAAAGAAATAAGATTAAGTAATACAATTATTGTTGTGGAGAAAAAGGAATTACAATATCGATAAATATCAAAAATGTAACTCACTACCAAATGTTCAGATAAGGATCCAAATTAGTTTATTATAGCTATTTAAGATATTCAATCGACTTATTTTAGGAATGTGTGCAAGTGTAATGAGGTAATCTTTATGCTAAAATTATTAAAATAATTTTAAAATTTTTAAATGGAATTCTGTAATTGTTTTCGCTCAATGACTTTGCTTGTGGTACTCATCCTATAATGCTAGACAATTTAGCCTACTTCAATATGCTTATCAATAAAACACTATCCTTATACTTCCAGTTAAAAATCATTACCAACTGTTTACCTATTTCATAATTTTAAGAGCCCTAAATGCACCGAAAATTTATTAAAAATATCCATTCGAAAAATGTTTTCCATAAAACATTTTTCGAATGGATTTTTTTTAACTATCCGCACAGACCGAAAAACTATACAGCACTTCATTTGAAAAAAACTACAACTTTATGTAATATTTATTTGAGTCACTCTTTATATCTAAAAATAATTTGAAATTCCCTATTCCCAACTTAGCTTAGACACTAGGTCACCCAGTATACAAGGTGTAAATAAATAAATGCGAAAGGGAAATAAAAAGAAAATGAATTCAGGATGTGATTAATTTTTACACACAAAATAAGGAAGAAGGTCTGAATATGGTCTGAATATTATTCGTTCTTGTGATACATTTGCCTACATAGCAGTTGTGGCTGGACCTAAAGGGTATGGTAAGAGAAAAACACGGTAAGTACGGTAAGAGAAAACACGTGCTCAACCAACCGCAATATGAAAGAAAAGAGATAAGTAAATAGGTTGAAGTGTATGATTTTTGATTGTGATGACATTTTTTTAAATCGTTACTTTTTATATACGACCTAATAATGATCATACTTCTATCAAGCAGCTATCATCATCATCAATTTCAGCTTATTCAACCATTTCCAATTATGGTGTAGCCTCCATCACATAGACTCTTTGTAGTTGAGCCCATTTATTTCTATTGTTTGCTATGCGGGCCCAAGTTATCCCTGCTAATTTCCTAATATCATGGTCCCCATCTCAGGTTCGATCTTCTTCTAGATCTCTTGATTACTTGTGGGTACCATACTGTAATTTTTGTGGTCCGTTCTTCTTGCCAGGTGTCCTGCCCATTGCCATTTGAGGGATTTGATTCTGTGGATGACGTCTATTACCGGGGTCTTTTGTCGTATCCACTGTATTCTTTTACGCTCTCTCTCTCTCTCTTGGTTATTCCCAGCATATTGAACCTTGTGTAATCTGCAGTTTCCTTATGATGTCCGTTTTAAGTGTCCAGGTTTCGCATGCATAAGTCATGTCTGGTAACATACATTGGTCGAATGTTTTCTTCTTTTTACTTAAGCAGCTATGTAGCTTTTAATATTAGGAGGGTTATGTACTAGGAAGTTATGTACTCAAAAGTTACAGTTTATTTTTCTTGTGGAAATGTTACGCACTCTTCTACAGATCTCAGTTGTCACTACTACAAAGTTGTTATTTTAAAACAAGGCACTATCCATATCCCCGATCAACTTTATTTAGAAGATGCGAGACTTTGTCGTTGGTATGGAAGCTCCTGTAGCTCCTGGCTGTAGTGTCATAACCAGGGAAAAACAAAGACGTATAATGATGCCGAATTGGATTACGTTGTCCGTCATACTACGCACCCTATAGTGTATTTGATAATATATCACGGACAGAGGCTGTGGTGGGATCTTGACCGGACCAAGAGGAGACAATCCATATAGCACGTCCAAATAAAATTACGTTTCCACAAGAGAGACACATGAGAAACAACATATGTTAAAGTGAACCTAAGTGTAAGTGCATCTAGTTCTAACATATGAGATACACGCAGGTTTATATTGATATAATTGTGTGATCCACTGTTTACTAGTTGTATACCGTATGCACTCAAGATTCTAAGAGTTTTTTGTAACGTAACAAATAATTATTAAAATGATGAAATCTGACGTCGGTATATGAGACATACAATGTATAAGTCATATGTATGTGTAATACTTCGTATCATAGTTGTGCCTACAGTACACACCTTGTGATGTGACGTATACACAATAGACGCTTTGTAATAGTGTACTGTTGTGTCTACATTCTAGGATGAAATGAAGGTGTGCAGCCTCAGCGTAGATACACCGACCAAGTGTATCTTATGTGTCCTCTCTCCTTTCTCCTTTCTGGGAGTGGTATGTGTTAGCAGCCATTATTGTTTTATCATTCAGAAGCTCTATATAAATGTTCTGTATTTTGTGTAGTTTAAAAGAGATTTTAAGGTAAGTACAAGTTTTTAATTACCTTGTTACACATTCCTAAGAGTATTATTAATATTATAGCAGCGACTCTTCCCTTACTCGATACCCAATTTACCAAATTTTGACTCCAATGAATGAAAACTCCAAATATTCTCGTATAATGATAAAGAGGTTAGCTGAGTTAACTCTGCAATATAATTTTTTTTTAATTTGGAAATAATAAAAATCTAAATGGACCAGAGAAAGAAAGATTTAAACACTTCAAAGAACTTCTTACACTGATATTCGGTAAGTTATTGATGGATCAATATACAGATATGTTTAATATTCAATAATCAGTTTCATATAAAATTTAAGGGTGAGATTGTTAATATGGAAATAAAATACAACAAAGTCCAACAGAGTGCTCGATGAATGAGTATGCTAATAAACCAACTGCTTGGAGGGAAAAGATGAGAAAAAAATGACCAAACGAGGTCCACCAAATCGTGGCGATATACCAGTGTTTACCATTTTAGTATGTTGTTATACTAGGTACTTATATTTTTAATACATTTTGATACAAATTCTGTTCTTTTACAGTGTTTTCTCACTTCTGGTTTCTGCAGTGTAAATAATTATTATTATTGTGTTATTTGCGCTATTGCGTTCCATGATATAAAGAAATATAAGAATTTTATTTTTAACCACTTAATCCATTTTATGGAAGAAAAATGGTACATTTAATACAAAACAAAAATGGAACAATTTTAAGGCTACTTCTCTTCAACTTACGATCGAGATACTTTTGGAAAATACAAAGTTTTGCCTTCCTAATTTTCGTTCTAAAAAGATATAATTGGTATCATTGAATAAATATTTCTTAAAAAGAAGGAAAAGTTAGGCATCAAAACTTGTATTATTTCCTAAATTCGTTCATAAGAAGTAGTTTTATCTAGCACAAGATGTATATACGAAGCAAAATACATACATACACGCGGTAGGCACAACTGCAATGTGTGAACATAGTTTAAATGTAATACACAAGCACTGTATATCCTACGGCACACTGTGTATCCCTTACTTTGTGTGTACGTAAATGCTATACTGTGGCTACATTGTGAGGCGGACGTTTATCCTTTGTGCATACATGTTGAACTACAATGTGTAAACGTAGCATATTTACATCGAGGGAATTGTGTCACCCTGTGTCTACGTCTAATAATGTAAACACATCGTAAATGTGATTTGATGTGCTGTATGGGAACCTTACCATAAATGTAAATCTTACTATGGCGGGCAAAGGATGCGGCAAAAGGATGCGACGTAAGTGACGTAAGCTCAACCTTGGGGGCGTATATCGCCAGACGAGAATACAGTGGAGGTACCCCACTGTATTCTCGTCTACCTTACTTATACTAACCCTTGCGGTTAAGCTTGAGGGAAACCCCATAACAGTACTGAACGTACTCACAACCCCAAAGGGAACTATAGGAGAGGCAGCTGACACTTGCGCGAGACCGGCCTCCACAACCACCTCCTCCAGTAAGAGTCGGGAGACCAGGACTACCTCAAAAACCTCTCACATCTGCTCTGATATGGAGAGAAAAATCCAGGATGGAAAAACGTCCAAAACCGGGAGGCGCGCAGGGACGTTTCACCAGCTTTGCCAGAACTCCAATGTAATAACATCGAGTTGATGAGTCATCAACTCGAAGGAGGTGGGCCATAATCAGGTCCTCACAATAGGAATTAACCTCAAATCCAAGGATGCAATAGAGAAAGAGAGATATATCCTTTATTATAGATTCGGGACATCACGGGTATCTGGTCTAAGGGGAAACCGAGTTAAAGAGGAGGAGAGAATGGAGACAGATCCTCCAGCCCGTACCTCACGGGTACCTCAGCCGGAGACAAGCTCCTCGACTGTTAAAGACACGAAGGGCTAAACCCCAGCCGTACAAGCGTACAAGGGTGTATACCGAGGGGTGTCTCACTATTGGAATTACATGTCCATTTTCTTGGCAGTCGCTGGCAGTCATTGGCAGTCGCTGGCATTCATTGGCAGTCTTATGGCAGTCGCCTATAATAATTACATGGCAGTCATAGGCAGTCTTCTTCATAGTCACTGGCAGTCGCTTAGTAGTGGAAGGATATTTTGGCAGTACGTGTACATTTTTTACCCGAGTGAGACACCCCTCGGTGTATACCCTCATAGGATGTAGATGTCCACTCCTCGGAGGAAGAACATCTGTTGTCAGAAGAGGATGGAAAATGCCCTCTCCCCATTACAACAGAAAAAGCATCATGTATGATGTGTTATAGACTGTATAATGAATTATAACTCGCGAAAGGGAGACACATTAGATCTTTAAGATCACGGTGATTAACCCCCTCCCATTCATTCTACATTCTACATTCCCGATAAAGCATTTGACCTAAAACTTTATTAGTGCCACTAATACCTATTATAGGTTGTAGTTGGATACAACAAAATGTATACTCATATACGTTACCATATTAGTTAAATTTGTTGAACTCATTTTGGTTGTGGAAAAAAAGGCGCTAATTTTACTAGTCGATTTCATTTCTCTACTAATTTAACCAATATTCTACCTTTAAAATTCACACTAATTTCCATTGTATAGATAAGAAATTTGCAGGGTACC